GCTTTGGAAAATATAGCAGCGGGGTGGGGTGCCAGCAGCCTGGGTGGACAGATGCGGGGGTGGGGTGGGTGGCCAGCGGCCTGGGGGGCAGCAGCGGGGTGGGTGCCCAGCAGCCTGGGTGGACAGCAGCCTGGGGCGGCCAGAGCACCCTCCCCAGCCGCCCGGGCTGTGATGGAGGGCTGGGTGTGCGGGGAAAGAGCCGGGGAGCCGACGAGCCCCGGGAAGGCGGGCGGAGGGCGGAGCGCCCCGGCCAGGCCTCGCGGGCCCCTTCGCCGCCATGGCCGGCCGTCTCGGGGGCTCCCCTCGGCCAGAGACCGGCTGCAGCGGCGGGGAAGGCAGCGGGCGCTGCCCGGTTCGCCCCGGGAGACGCGGGGTGACGCCTGCACACCCCGGGACAGGGAGGGGCCTCCTGGGGGACGCCCGAGGCAGAGGCCTTCCCCGGCTGGGGGGCTCGGCCCCGAGGGAGGGGCGCGAGGCCGGCGTCGGCCACCCCGAGCGGGGCCCGGCCTCCCTCCGCCGCTCTCCCCACGGCCCAAACCCTCGCCCGGTCTCCCCGCGACCCCGAGCGGCGGCTCCTCGGCCGGGAGCCAGGCCGCCGTGGCCGCCGCCGCCCTCACCATCCTGTCACTGGGCTCCGGTCAGTCTCCGCCGCCGCCGCCACCCTCTTCCTCAGTCTCTGCAGCGCTCCGCCCACCGCCCACCTGCAACCAATGAGGGACGAGGAGCGCTGGAGGCGGAGCTACGGAAGCCCGAGCCGACCCTGCGCCGCCGTACGCGGAGCGCTCTGCCGGGGCGGGGACAGAGCCGGCGGGGGCGCGCAGCGCGGGGGCGCGCGCTACATCCGGGCCCTCGAGGCCGGCGGGCGAGGGCGGGAGCCATGCTCAAGTGCGCGATGAGCGGTGGCCAGCTGAAAGGTGTGGTGGCCGCTCGGCCTGTCCCGGTCGGCTCTCGGCTTTCCTGTTATGCACAGCGGCCCAGGACCGTTAGTTAGCCCAGGGTGTGCGGCCGCGTGTTCCTTCATGCAGAGTGACCGCCGGGAGGACAGTGAGGGCCTCGAACGGCCGATGGGGCGGAGGTGGGGCATGAGGAGCAGGCTCCTCGCGGGGAGAGGACGCGGCTCAGCGCGGGCCTCGGGGTGTCCGTCCGTGAAGGGGGCCGACAGCGCCTTCGGCCAGTCGCCTGGACCCCGACGGCCGGGCAGCTCGGAGCAGGGCGAGCCCAGGTGAGGGTCCCAGGCCCCTGATCCCGGGCTCGGAGCTGTTCCTACAATTACCAAGACCTGCGAGCCCAAGTGAGGGTCCCCAGACCCTGGTCCCCGTCCTCAGAGCTGTTCCTATAACTACCAATGCCAGGCGAGTTCAAGTGAGGGTCCCAAGCCTGCGACCCCTATCCTCGAAGCTGTTCCTACAATTACCAAGACCTGCAAGCCTGAGTGAGGGTCCCCAGACCCGTGATCCCTGTCCTCAGAGCTGTTCCTATAACCACCAATGTTGGGCAAATCCAAATGAGGGGCCCCAGGCCCCAGACCCCTGTCCTTGGAGCTGTTGCTACAGTTAACAAGGCCTGCAAGCCCAAATAAGGGTCCCCAGGCCTGCAACCCCTGTCCTCAAGGGGCTCGGTTATGGCCTGGTGGAGAAGCTGACCTGACCTTGGGGAGATGCCCAGTCACGTGCATGGCTGAGCCCAAAGATAATGTTCTAAGAACAAATGAGTTCTTCAGCGTTAGAAAAACCAGTAAAATCAACTCCATGACATTGCTTTTTCGGGGACACTTTTCTGTGCATTTCAGTAGCCCTCCACTCTCCGTGCTGGACACTAAGCCATCTGTACAGAGGTTCGTCCACATCTCTCAGTCACCATAACATGAACGTCCCCTGCTGCTCGCCCAGCCCAAGCCCCTTTCAGACGGGACACCTGAGAGTGCTTGGTTGCAACGTCTAGCATCTCTCCTCGGTACCCTGAGGCATCAGAGATGCATTCACACTTCCAAAATTTATTTTTCAGAACTTGTTTTGACTTTGCCATGAAATTGAGTTAAAAAAAAAAAAACACCCAAACACAAAAACCTTCTCATCACTGTACCCATGCTCTATTTTCACACTTTTGTTTTGTTTTGTTTTGTAAATACATTTCAACCAAATTTAAAAATAATACTGATGTGGAAATCAGCTTGCCAGAGCATAGCCATGCAATGCTAGGGCCAAACAGAAAGGAGTGTCATAGGATTTTATTATTTCACCCACTCATTCTGCGAATTTGTTAAGTCTAACGATGTGGCCTTTTGCCAGGAATACACTGTATTTCTTAAAAGCCTATAAAACATTTGTACTTTATGAATTCATCTGAGGGCTTTGAAGGTTCCAGTACTGTGATTTGTTTAGTAACCAGCACCTTCCGTTTTCTCTCTAGTATTTGGGAAAGCGATCCAGGCTCTGTCACGGGTTAGTGACGAACTGTGGCTTGACCCATCTGAAAAAAGTGTAAGTTAAGAAAATGAACTCATAGGCCATCAATTAAGGCAAAAAATAGCCACCAACACCTGTCCAGTCTGAAAGACGCTCTGGTGGAACTGCATTAAGGCATTTGGCTGGAAACCCAGAGGTCTGTTACTCAATCCCACCAGCACCTCCCAGGCAGACAGATGCAGTCGGCTTCTGTAAGATTACGGTCTTGGGAACTAGGGGGCAGTTCCACTTTGTCCTAGAGTGTCCCAGAGTCAGAATTGACCTGAGGACACTGGAGTAGTTGTATTTTTCAGGGAGGAGGGTTCTGGATTGAATGTCACCCAGGAAATTCAGATGTTTGTCCTAGCCCTGTCCCCATTGGTCTTTCTATTACATGTTTGAGTACATGTGGAGGACAGTGAAAATCATGTGGCCACACAATAATGCTTTAAACCAGAAGCCACACATGGATGGCCAGAAAAGCAGGACATGACCTGCTCAAGTGTTTGCAGTTTGAAATTATGCCCACCATGTGAAAGCTGGGCAATTCCATATAAAAATAAAGATTTCCTGCTTAGTTTGAGGCCTACAATGCTTCCAGGTAGAAGCATTTGGATGAAACTCACAGGCGAGACGTTGTCGGTTTATTGCAGCCTTTCTCTCCATTTACAGTGCTGCCTGTCACTTTATGCTTTTATGCCACTGGTGAATTAATACAGTGACTGCTGCAGTGGGCTCTTGTGTGTCAGGAAGTGTGAGGGTGGCGCAGGATAGAACAGGGTTCAGATCCTTTGTTCATAGGGTCGCTATGAGTCATGCTCCACTCCACAGCACCTAACAGCAACAACTGGACCCCCATAAGGACATTGTCATTGTAAGACGTGAGATTTCAACAACTCAAAACGCATTGCTGTTGGGTTGGGTTGGCTCTGACTGAAAGCTGACCCTTTGCCAGGCCTCAAAGGCTGTAAATTGCACTGGAGGCCGGCCCATCTGCCTACCCAGAAGCCACTGGTGGATTCACTCCAAGAAGCACGGACTTTGGGGTAGAAGGGTGATTCCTCACTGACTATTCCACCAGAGCTGGTGGGTTTGAACCGTGAAGAGGCACTGCCTTTGGGTTAACAGTGCAATTTCCATCACACTTGGCCACCAGAGCTCTCTCTTAATTTATATATGTGCGCGATTGGTGGATGATTTATCAACAATCTGCGTTATGCAGACGACACAAACCTGCTTGCTGAAACTGAAGAGGACCTGAATCACCTGCTGCAGAGTGTCAAGGACTGCAGCCTCCAATATGGATTGAGGCTCAATGTCAAGAAGACAAAGATTCTCACCACTGGACCAATTGGCAGCATCAGGATGGATGGTGAAGAGATTGAGATTGTACACAGCTTTAGTTTGCTTGGCTCCATAGTCAACAGTCTTGGCACCAGTAGCCAGAAAATTAAAAGGCGCATTGCCATGGGAAAGTCTGCTGTTAGGGACCTCTCCAAAGTACTGAAGAGCAATGGTGTCTCTCTGGAGACTAAGGTGCATCTGATACAGGCCATGGTCTTCTCAATCACTTGTTATGCATCAGAGAGTTGGACAATGACCAAGGAGGATAGAAGGAGAATTGATGCCTTTGAGCTGTGGTGCTGGAGAATAGTATTGAGAATACCATGGACTGCTAGGAAAACAAACAGATTTGTCCAGGAAAGGGTTAAACCGGGTGGCTCCTTGGAGGCGAGGATTCTGAGGCTCCGTCTAACATACTCTGGACATGTTGTGAGGAGGGACCGGTCCTTGGAGAAGGACATCACGCTTGGGAAGGTGGAGGGACAGCGCAGGAGGGGAAGGCCCTCTATGAGGTGGATTGATTCAGTGACTGGGATAATCGGGATGGGAGTGTCAGAGACAGTGCGATTGGCACAGGACAGAGCAGAGTATAGGGCTGTTGTACATAGGGTCGCTATGAGTCACAGGCGACTCAACAGGACATAACAATAACAACAACATGCGCGTGCACGCACACACGGAGCTCTGGTGGCCTACTAGTGAGAAACTGCTGCAATTCCAAAGGCACACAGTTCAAATCCTCCAGCCACTCCACGAGAGAAAGATGGGCAGTCTCCTCTGAAAACCTGCTGGAGGATCAGCTAGGGGTCTGTTCCAACTCGATGGTGCACAACAACATATATGGAATTCAGTGTGTGTGTGTGTGTGTGTGTGTGTGTGTGTGTGTGTGTGTGTGACATATGCAAATTCAGTGCACACTGTATAATACATTTCATAGCTAGCCTCATTTGAACATACTTAACTGTGATGAAGAAGTCCTCCTGGCTCGGGTTAGGTACGTGGCAGGCAGTTTTTTATAGTCTGGGAACCCCACAGACACTCCTACTCTGCCCTGTAGGGTGCCTGAGTTAGCACTGTCTTCACAGCAACTGAGTTCTTCAAATGTGATATATAGAGTTCCTGAGTGATGCAAACAGTTCATGAACTTGGCTATTAACCATAAAGTCCACAGTCTGAGTCCCCCCACAGAAAAGCCAAGGCAGAAGGCCCTGGTGATCTGGTTCGGAAATCAACCGTCAGGAAGCCTGGGGAGCTCAGCCCCACTCCTCCTGTGGGTCACCACAAGTTGAATCACCTCAGTAGCCCCTGGTATTTATGTCAGCTGTAAGGAGGTAGTTAAACTAACTACTGCTTTTTAACAGCTTCTTTTCCTTTTCTTCTAAATGGCTATTATTTCATTTTCCTCCCTAGTTGGCTCTGAGATCTGTGAATTCTTGTCGCTCAGCATATGGCTGTGTCCTCTTCTCATCTTTATTTTTCCAACATTATCAATGGTTAACTCCAGTGGAAATGAATGCTAAGGACACATCATCATCCAATTTAAACTGCCAGTTAACAATGAAGGTAAATAGAAGTGGCCCAGGTTTTCTCTTGTAGAAAGAAGTAAGTTTGCTCTTTGAGGAATACACATGTTGTTCTTTAGCTTGTTAAAAAAAAACAACTTAAAAAAAAATACTACTTTGTTTTCAGTGAAGGTTTACACAGCGTTTGAGCTTCTATAGAAATTGTCTAATGGGATTTTTTTTCATTCTTTCCATTCTGATTGTCCGGTTTCAGTTACTCTAATTTTCTTGCCTTCGTACATCTTCATCTTTGTTTTAAAGTAGTTGTTCAGTCTTATCTGGGTGATCTTTGGGGAACATTTTATGGTGCTTTAGGTGAAAGTTTACACAGCAAACTAGTTTTCCATTCAGGAATTGATACACAAATTGTTTTGACCCTGTTTATAATCCTTTGACCCTCCACCTTTCTCAGCGTATCTTTCCCGAGGACTGCCTGCTCTTAACAACAGGCCCAGATATTCATCATTTTTAGCTAATTTGCGTATTAATTATAAGATTACTGTGGGCTTTCTTTAAGAAAGAAAATAAACGATAAGTATATATTCTTCTATCACTGTTACAGTCACTCCTGCCTATCTTTAGATGTCTGAATTCCCTTGAGAGAAATGTGGAGAAGTGCAGCATATTCACCAGATCTGATCAATCCAAAGTAGTTATTCAGTTCTTCTGCAGACATGGTAGGTATAATTAAAAACTGCTAAAAAGATTGTATGTTTTCCTTTGTGTTTTTCATATTTGGAGTGTTTCATATTCAAACTTTAGTTCAAGACTTCCCAGTGGCACTCTTACTTAGAATTTGTACAATGTTGCAATCAGACAAATTTAAGTACTTGAAGTATTTTACGTGTTGTTGCCTTAGATGTACTTTTGGAGATACTTGGCGTTAAATATGCACTTCTTTTTCTGACTTGTCAGTAGCTAAAGCTTGCTTGTTTACAAACCCAGATTTTAAGTGGGTCCTGAGTTCTGACAGCTGACTGTGATCAGATGAAATGACCGCCTCATGATCTTCTCTAAGAACACTCTGTGTTGTTGATGTAACCACAAGTCCCCTTAGACAAGAACAGGTTATAGAAACCCCTCCTTCGTCAGCTATGGGGCATCCTCCGTAGTCCGCAGGGCGTTGTTAAGCCAGAGGGGGCACCTCTCTGCTCTTTCTAATCCACCAGCTGCTTCAAGAGAGAAAGATGGGCAGTCTCCTGCTAGACCTGATAGAAGATGAGTTCTAACTTGGTTCTGACTCGGTAGCAGTGAGCAGAGAGGTTTCACACCTCCTGAAGAATGCCAGAACGTTCTATGGAAAGCCTTCGAGGGGACAGACACTGTCGTGCGTGTGCTGACAGGAGCTTGGTGATTGGCCCAATGTATCAGAGCTTGTAACTCCCAGAGCCCAGACAGGAGTACAGGCTCATGAATAGCATGCATCCTTGCCACTGTACTCCTGGTAAAATAGATCTTCTGTTGGAAAAGAACAAGAGGTTACTACGTGGTTTAAAATTAGAAAGGTAAAAATAAAATAAAATAAAATAAAATTAGAAAGGTGTGGTGAGCTCTGGTGGCCTAATGGCAAGAAGCTGCACTGCAATCCCAGAGGCACGTGGTTCAAATCCACAAGATGCTCTGCTGAAGAAGGAGGGACAATCTCCTCCTGTACCAGTCAGATCCAATTTGACGGTACACACACAAATAATAATAATAAAAAATAAATTAAAAAAAATAAATTCTTTTAAAAAATCAGACAGGTGTACATCAGGATTGCATCCCTTCTCTTACGTAGTCTGTGTGCTGAGCAAAGCTGAGAAGCCCCCTCCCAGCCCTGCGTGCCGAGCCCACTGTTGAGGCCATCATATCTGTCCATTTTGTTGAGGGTCTTCCTCTTTTTTGCTCACCCATTATTTTACCAAACATGATAGCCTTCTGCAGAGACTTGCCTCACCTGATAGCGTGTTCCAAGTAAGTGAGAACCAGTCTTAGCGTCCTCTCTCCTACGAATATTCTGGATGTTACACTTCTTCCGGAACAGACTTGTTCATCTTCCTGGTTGTCCCCAGCATATTCCGTATTCTTCATCAGTACAATTCAAAGGCATCAGTTCTACCTTGATCTTCCTTATTCAGTGCTCAGCTTTTGCATGTATAAGGCAACTGGAAAAGTGAGATCTCTAACAAGCCACTAGAAATAGAGATCTGTCATTTGGGAAAAATTATGAATAAAGAAATAAATCCAATTTTGTTTAGAGGTAGAAAATGATTGCCACAGCAGAAGCTACTAAAAAGGAATGTAACCACAAACAGAGGGAGCTCTGGTGGCTTAGGAGGTAAGGAGTTCTCATGTCAACCCAAGGGCAGGCAGTTTGAATCTACCAGCTGCATCTCGGGAGAAAGATGAGCGCTGGGTGCTCCACAGAAGAAAGATGGGCCGTCTCCTCCTGTGCAGTTAAAGCCTCTGAAAATCCACTGGAGGGTCAGCTATGAGTCAGTTCTGACTGGACGGCGTATGAGGACAACAATGTCCGCGATTTTATAGATGACGTAGCATCCGCTAATCGAAAGCATAGCGCTTTAGTGGCCTAGTGGTATGAAGCTGCACTGCAATTCCACAGGTCCATGGTTCCAGTCCACCAGCTGCTCCAACAGGGGAAGGATGGGCGATCTCTTCCTGTGCAGTTAGCTGCCTCTGAAAAGGCACTGGAAGGTCAGCTGTGAGTCGATTCTGACTCCATGGCACACAGCAACAGAAAACATGGGGCTCTGGTGGCCTAGTGGTTAGAAGCTGGGCTGCAATCCCAAGCTGCTACGCTTCAAATCCACCAGCTGCTCCATGCGAGAAGGATGGGTAATCTCCTGTGCAATTTACTGCCTCTGAAAACCCACCAGAGGGTCAGCTATGGCTTGGTTCTGACTTCACACCACACACAGTGGAAAACACCATTTTGCTTGCTGAAAGTGAAGAGGAGTTGAAACATTTGCTGCAGAAGATCAAAGACCACAACCTTCAATATGAATAATACCTAAACATCAGTAAAGCAAAAATCCTCACCACTGGACCAACAAGCAGCATCATGATAGATGGAGAGAAGGCTGAAGTTGTCAACAGGCTCATTTCACTTGGATCCACAGTCCACCCTCAGGGTACCAAAAGATGGGTTGCATTGGGAAAACCTGTCAAGCACCTCTCCAAAGTGCTAACGAGTAAGGATGTCAGCTTAAGACTAAGGTATTCCTGATGCAGGCCGTGGCCTTTTCAGTTACTTCCTATGCATCTGAAAGGTGACTAAGGATAACAGAAGACTCAATGTCTTGGAATTGTGGTGTTGGAGAAGATGATCTTGGAAGAAATAGAGCCAGGTGCCCTTAGAGGCAAGGATGGTGTGGCGCAGAACCCCGGACTTAGGGCATCTTGGGGGGGAAGGCAGTCCTTGGAAGGAGAGGGGAGTCAGAGAAGGCAGGAAGGAGGCTTGAGAGTGTGAGGTTGACACAGTGACTGTAGCAGGGGCTCCAGCCTTTCAGAGCTGAAGAATGCGCAGGATAAGACATACCTGGAATCGGCTGTTGACAGGGTTACTATGAGTCAATGTCACTTCAGTGGCACCTACCAGACAATTGCAATCAAAAAGAGAGTGATTTCACCTGGTGCCCTGGTGGCACAGTGGTCACGGGACCCAGCTCCTCCTCTGGAAAAAATGTGGCTGCCTGCTTCTCCAGAGATGATTGTTGTTAGATGCTGTGAAGTCCAGAGTGACTCATAGGGCGATCTTCAGCGACCCTGTGTCATCCTCTGTGACCCTGTGCCATCCTCAGCCTGGCACACTTGGGCCCGTTGCTGTAGTCATTGTGTCAGTCCAGCTGGTTGAGGTAGACTCCACCTTCCTCTCCCAGCAACACGCCCAGAGCGTCACCATCCTTGCCTCCAGGGAGCACTCTGGCAGCACCCTCTCCTGGACATATATCTTTGTCCTTTTGGCGGTGCACGGGATGTCCAGCACCCTTCCCCGCCACCACACAGCTCCAGGGCATCAATTCTGCCCTCCTGATCCACGGTCTAGCTCTCACAGGCATGGCAAGTGACTGAAACGACCGTGGCCTGAATCTAAAGATTACCATTGGCTTTTCAGTAGCTGATTTTTGGAAGATCAGGCCTTCTTGCTGTCTGTTAGTCTGGAAGGTTCCAGCAACATGCAGGCCTCTACTGCAGAAGGGTAGCCACCATGCATGAAGTACATTGACCAGAAATTGAACATGGGTTCCCAGCACAGAAGACGGGAATTCTACCACTGGACTCTTGGAAAAGAACCCACCGGGCAGTAAGGTCCAAGTGACAAAGTCCCACCCAGAAATACCAATAGTGGGTGAAAGATGGGGAAGAGATCCATGGATTGATGACATTCTGTCCTGCATGGATATACATCCACTGTGTTAACACCATCGCCGTCTTTTAAGTCCTTGTGTTTAGAAGGAATGTGTACTGCCTGGCTGGTCATAGGGTGTAACATGTTGCTTGGTGTCCGCTAGGGAGCAGCAGTACACACATTTCACTAAGGAACAGTCCTGCCCTCGGTTTGTGCACCTGCTACGTACCAACATGAATTTCATTCTTTAACTTGGCTGTGGAATGTCAGAGGAGCCTGGTAGCTCACTTGGCTGCTAACCTCAAGGTCAGCACTTGGAACTCTTCAGCCGGCTTACAGGAGGGAGATGATGCAGGCTGTTTCTGTGAAACCACAGCCTTGGGCCCCCTGTGGGCACTTCTACCCTGACCCACAGGGTGTCCATGAGCTGGCCTTGATGACTGTGGTCAGAGACTGAGGAGAAAGAGTGTTCATTTTTTCAAATTATTTTATAATTATTATTATTAATTTTAATGAAAATTTACAGAGACTTTGGATTTCCATTAATTTTGTTGCCCTTTTCTCCCTGCCCATCCCTCCCCCAGTACACTCTTCTCTTTGAAAAGTAAAAGAAAAAGGGGGAGGGAGAAAAAAAAAAGAAATGTAAAAGAAAAATTCTTTCATTATTTTACAATCCCTCCCCCAGGTCCACTCCACTATGTGGCCTTCGTTCTGGACTTGTCATAACAATAATACCTAATCACATATCCCTTTTAAAGTTTTCTCATCTGTTTCAATTCAGTATACATTATTTATCGCATCTTTCTCAGTCTCCCTCCAACCCTGATGTCAATCCCATTTTACAACAGTGGCATCATGCAGTATTTGTCCTTTTGTGACTGAGATATTTCACTCAGCATAATGTCCTCCAGGCTCACCCATTTTGAATCATACTGCATGAGTTCCTTGGTTTTCAATGCAGCATAGTATTCCATTGTGTGAATATACCACAGCTTCTCTATCCACTCGTTTGTTGATGGGCACCTGGGTTGTTTCCAACTCCTTGCTATTGTGAACAGAGCTGCAATAAACATGGGTGTGCATACAGAGTTTTCATTTTTTTATGATCACAGTTACTCTGTTTTTGTTTTAATTGTTTTATTTTATTACTTTTTGTGTGTATGTACTTTCAAATCAGATCTGACTGGTTCAGGAGGAGATTGCCCCTCCTTCTCCAGCAGAGCATCTGGTGGATTCGAACCTCATACCTCTGGGATTGTAGCTCATCTTGCCATTAGTCCACCAGAGCTCCCTTTTTGTTTTTAAAATTTTTTAAATTTTTAAATTTAAATTTTAAATTGTTGCACATTTCCCTCTCCTCTTTCTTTGATTTTAAAGATTTTAAAAATCATTACATTTTAAACTTAAAATGATTAACATGTTTCTTTCTTCTTTTCTGAGGTATTAAAAGAACTTACAATGTATGTTTTCAAGAAAGTCAGCCTCTGCAAGTGGTTTTTGAAAAGAAGGCGTGCACCAACACCCTTGTGGTTCAGCCTAGGTAAGAAAGTGTGCACCAGTGCTCTGAGGGCTCAGCCAGGGGGAGGGCTTCTCTGCTGGGCTTGCCTTCTGAACAGGGTGACCACAGGGAAGAGCAAACCGCTTGAGCTTCCCCGTTTCTTCTGTTTTCCCCAGAAACTACAATTGGACTTAGAGAAATCACAGTACAGGAACAGGGAGGAAATTCTGAGACAGAAGATAGTAGACAGCAAATGTTTAGAGATGTAGAAGTTCTGAAAATAACTCCATTACTGACTTTCCATATCATCTGGTATTAGGAGAGAATGTCCTGTGGATAACACTGCATACGCGTGGTGCTGTGAGTCTTAAAGTACATCACAGTGTCACGGAGCAGATTCTCGCTCACAGAGGCCTCCCTCTGGTCCCTGAGGCTGGAACTCTTAGTGGAAGCATGCTGCCTCACACTTGCCCACAGAGCTGCCGGTGGATTTGAACCACCAGTCTTTTGGTTAGCCCCCCATCATTTAACATGTTGTGCCATCAGGTTTCGTTTTAAACCACCTGGCACAAGGAAATCTTAGTATTCTGGCATGCGCTGGTCAGATCCCTGGTCATCAGCCACTCTGCAGGAGAAAGGTGTGGAATTGTCCTCCCGTAGGGGTTTCAGCCCCAGAACCCACTGCAGGGGCGCCGGGAGTTGAAATCAACAAGAGGACAGTGGGCTTGCTGCTTCCTGGAGAATAAGCGGGGCCCCTTCGTTGATGAAGGTGCGCTCAGACTTCAGGTGAGCATTAGACATTAATTCAGCTGTCCTGTGAGCCAAGAGATGTCGGCAGTGTGCTTTTCCAGTTAACAGGGCAGTGCTCGTTCCTTGCAGCCCATAAAAAACCACCTGCCAGGGCAGCAAGGTGGAAGGCGAACATCCTCCACTTTCTGTCCTCTGTCCCGCTTGGCAGGAGTAGCCTTGACTCACAGTTTGGTGTGGATCCTTGACTTTCTTTTTATTTATAGCCAGTCTCTCTGTGACTCTCACAGACACCATGCGTATCACATTCTACACTCCTGTAGAATATTTTTCCCGAGGAAACCCTTGGTGCAGGGACACCGGGAGCTCCCACTATTTCTGAGCCCTTACCTACCAGGCAAGGAAGACCCTTTTACCTGTCTTCAGTTGTTGCTCTCTCTGTTCCGTTCTTTTTACTTCTTTTATTTTAAAATGTTTCTTTCATATAATCCCTAATGTGGCTAGAAAGTGACCCTGATTATTTCTTGAGAACACAGGAGGAAGTAACCATAGCTGTATTAACTTCTCTTTCTTGAACCACACAGTTCAACAGTTTCCGTCATAGACTTACGGACACTTTGGCTTTTCCCCAGATGAAAACTTGAATGATAGTGAAAAGAATGGGGCACGCGTGGATCTGGCAGGTTGTGTAGCCTCTGAGTGCAGAAATCACTGGATCTTTTCACAGTGAAAGAGTTCCAGTGAGAGAGCCATGGAGTCATGACAGAAGCTGCCCTCATGTTCTCAGGACCAGGATGTCACTGTGATCTAAGTAACATTTCACCATGTTTGGACCATTGGGACTTTATAGTTCTATAAAAGACTCAAATCTCAGAATAAGAGACTTCTTCCTTCCAGCACCCCTCCCTACCTATCCAGTGTAATTCTGCTATTCAGACGAGGCACAGTTTGGCCTGTTCACTCTCTTCCCATCATGATTCAGAAGTTCCCCTGGACCTCATCCCACTCCTTGTCCACTTTCTTCATTATAAGATGGTTGCCTCTGGGTGTGGCCCAGTTAATCACAAATTAGTCCAGGGCAGACACAGCGCGTGCTTCTACGTGGTTCTTCAGGCCTTTAACCCAGTGCCTGGCAAACAGCAGACTCTGAATAAGTGTTGAGTGTGTGAGTCCGGCCCTCTCCTCAGGAAGGAGTTGAGAGCACAGAGATGAAGTGCTGTGTGTGGTGTCGGAAAGCTGGTTCAGAGCACAGATGGGGCAGGAACTGAAGACTCTCCTTTGTCCTTTGTACTCCTGCTGGCCCTTTAGATCCCTGCAAGTGGTCAACCCCTCAGGGATCTCAGGACAATGTGAGAAGCTCTGGAAGCAAGACTGACCTTGTGATGAACTTGGCCATCCTGAGGGTAGCCAGTGGCCCTTGTCAAGTACAGCTCCGAGGAGTAAAGTCTCACATAGGTGCTGCCACCTGCACAAGGTATAGAATTCCCCCTCACTTAAGGCTGTTGCAGCCACAGGAACCTGTGTCCTCAGGTGACATCCTCAGGGACATACATGTTTATGCCCTAGTCTAAAGCTATTTGTCCTGAATGGTCTTCACCAATAATCTGTCCCTTTTTCAGTTAGGTTTTTATAGTGCTTCGAATGGAGGTTGGCGGGACAAATTGGTTTTCCATGTAACACAATCACCTACCTCTTTTTAAGAGCTCTTGGCCCTGGTGCCACACGCACACGCATACACACGTACACCAGGAGGGCTCCCAGATGAGGCTGCTAGGTGCTCCTGGCATTTTGGCATCAACAGACATTATTAAAAAAGAAACACTGCTAGACCTACGTCTGGCACCGAGATACCACCAAGATTACATAAACTCTAACATCCCATTTTATCCAGCAACATTTCAATTCCTCGAGGAGTCTAGACTCAGTCAGTCATGAAGAGACAGTTTCAGCTAAGGAGTTATGGATCTGAATAGGCATTTTCCAAAGAAAATTTAGAAATAGCTGAGAAGCACAGGACATGATCAGCATCATTTGTCATTAAATCTGATACCTTGCCTCCACTTGCGTGACTCACAGGCCCCTGTAAGACTGAGGAAAGCAGCCCCCGGGGTTTCTGAGCTCATAATCTTTCTAGAAGCAGCCCGTGGACACTTTTGCTCTGCAGAGCAGCTGCTGGGTTCAAACCACTGACCTTTCAGATGGCAGCAGAGCATGTAAGCACTGCTCCACCAGGATATCTATTAGACATTAGAACAGTGCCAGTTATTGGAGTATATCTGAATAAACGCCTTTTTAAAAACGGGCCATGGAGAAGGGGCACTTGAGGTGTGATAGTCCAGGACAGGCAATGAGGGAAGAACACCGGCCGCCGCCAGCCCACAGTCCACCATCCCCGGGCGGGATCTGTCCACCCCAGTGGATCAGAACAGCTCTGTTTGCTTCTGCCTGCCTTTGGAGTATGGTCCAATGCCAAGTGTTTCCTAAATATATGTATCATAACAAAACGTAGAATTAAAGATGCTTCCGTCTGCTGCCTTGGTCACCCTCAGCTTCCCCGGGTCTATAATTTTAGAAGAAGCACTTATCTTGCTCTTCCTTTGACTTTCAGATGAAGTTGCAATTTACAAATATACTAAAAATATAGTTGTTCATGCACAAGAAAAAATAGACACATTTTTCTGAACCCAGGCCAACCAACCCATTTATTTGCAGATTGAGTATTTGAGTCTCAGCAAGTATCTTTATCTTTTTTTACTTTTTACTGTGATCTGAGTGAAAGTTTATAGGGAAAATCGGTTTTACGTGCAGCAGTTGACCCACATTGTTTCCATGTTGATGACCACCCCTCACGGTACACAAGCACTCTTCCCGCGTCCTTCCTGAGTTCCTTGGTTCCATTCACCTCTTCTCTGCCCTTCTGCCTGGCGAACTTTACCCCTTTTGGTCTCGTCATGTGGCTGGTCGTCCTAAGGAGGCGGGGCTTGCCCAGTGTTACTGACCGCTTGATCGAGCTCTGATTTAGAGAAACGCTCCATCAGGCTGTAGAGGTTGTGAATGTTTATGAGAGGGCTGCCTACCTTTGAGTGGCTGACCTCCCACATAGCGGCCCAGCACATGACGCACTTAGCACAGGACTCGTGAGCTCTTGTCAGGGTCATTGGTACCGTCGGGCTGGAAGCGACCCACTTCTGAGACCTGTCTGTTGTGTGGGCCGGCGTTATTGTGGTCTGTAGAAATTATTTTCTAATAAAGCGAGTCCTTTGGTAATCTCTTCTAGAGTGCTTGCGGAAGCAGTTGTTCTCTTCACATCCAGTCAAGAGGAAGTGACCCTGGCTGTGACTTCAGCGAGTGTCTGCCTCAAGAGCTCCAAGGAGGAGGCGATGGGTAAGGACGCTGTCGGCCTTGCTGCTGGGACGGCTTAGCAAGGACGAGCGAGCGGCCTGGTGGGTACTTCTGTCTACAAAGCGGAGACTGCTAGCGCGAAGGAGGCCTTTCCCATGAGGAGCTGACACAGTGGCTGCAGGACTGAGCACACGTACAGCCAAGACTGAACGTGGCGTGCTGTGGGGTAGCTGGGACCGTGAGTGTGGCACGGAGATGGGCAGCCAGGACCATGAGCTTGGTGCAGGGCTGGGCAGCTGGGACTGAGCGTGGCGTGGGGCCGGGCAACTTGAACTGTGAGTGTGGTGTGAGGCTGGCCAGCCGGAATGTTCAGGTGTTCTGTTGTTGTTGTATAACTTAAGAGATAATAGAAACGTAACACATCAGTGAATAAAATAAATGACTCTGAAATCCAGGTTGTAAAGTTAGGGTGGATATTGAAGAAAATGTGTTCTCAACTAACATTTTACAGTCTGCGGCTCATCTTCTGCCACCCTTCGTGTTTAATATTAAATAACAAACAATTAAGAGGCAAGCAGTCCAGCTGGTATGACTTTTTTTTAAAATTTTGTGTGCGTGTACCGTCAAATCAGATCTGACTGGTACAGGAGGAGACTGTCCCTCCTTCTCCGGCAGAGCATCTGGTGGATTCAAACCATGCACCTCTGGGATTGCAGTGCAGCTTCTTGCCATTAGGACACCAGAGCTCGCCAGCTGGTATGATTTTTGACCACATGAACTTTGTATTAGAAATGGAATTTTACTCCAGATGGGGACACACAGGGCAGAAAGAAAATAGGACTGCAGCTTACTTCTCCCTGGAGTTAATGTGGATGGAGTGAGAAAACGGAGCACAATTAAATCAGGAGTCTGGGGATTAGAAAGATTCGCTAGAGTTGCTGTGGACAACTCTGAGCTTTTTCCTCAGTGATGGAAGCAAAGGAAGAATAAAAAAAAAACAAACACAACCCAACACACCAACCAGAAACCTAGAGGAGAAGGAAGTGTATTGTTTTTAACGCGAAACCAGCAGAGCCAGGGCTTAAGTTGCCTTCTTTAACTTGTAGTGCTCAGATGTGCCAATTCTTGTTCTGAGTGGCTCCGTTTTGAAGGCATTTGTACTTCTTAACTCCACGAGAGACACACTATTGTCCTCCTCCTACACATGAAGACACTGGAACTGAGCAGTCAGGTGGCCTGGCCCATGACACCCTGTTAGCAAGTGGTGGTTGGGATGTGGATACAGATGGTGTGGCTGCCTGTTCAGCCCCTCACTGCCTCCCTGTGACTGCTTTTCTCACATCTCATCTGCGTTTGTTTCTTTTCTTTTTATTAAAACAATTAAACAAACTAAAAGATTGTGATGTAGGTCAAGTTCTACCAGCAAATACGTTCTCCGTTCACAGGCCGGACACACTGTGCTGTACCACTGATTGCAGTCAGTTCCCACTACCCATCACTACTCACCCAGCTTCTCTGTCCCCTGCCTTTCAGGTTCCCTGCTTCCTCCCCACAGTGCCTTTCCTGGTTTCTGAACTTTGTCCTTTGACCTTGACTGGTTGATTTGTTTTAAGGACTACCCATCTTCCTAGAGTTAGGGCTCCTTTATACAGCAGACTCTATTTTGGCTGAAAATGGAGCCACAGATCCAGGTTCAAGTTTCAAGGACGGCTATAGGCCTCGGCCTCATGGTTCCACCAGCCTCCCCCGCCCAGGCAGTCTGTCACCTCCAGTCCATTCTCTGTCAGCGTTGAGGAGTGCTTGGTCCGGAAAATGCATGTCTGGCCGGTGAGTGTGTTTCCTTTTCCATCTCACCATCACTGAACAAAGATGGCCGGTTAGTAACCAGGGGACGCGGTCCCTGGTGAGCAGCTTTCTAGTTCAGGTCCGCTTGGCTGGGGACCCAGGGCTTTCACTTGACTGATTCATTCAGTCTGCACCACCACAGTGGGAGTGCTGGAATGGAACTGTAAGGCAGGAAACAAATTCCTAGTATTTATCATTGTTCTTTCTACTTACATAACTCACATGTAAAGAACAAAATTAATGATGTAGAAAAATAAAAACGCCAATTGACCAAGTCCCCTGAGCTCAGGCAGTAGCAGTTGCTTCTGAGTGGCACTAAGGAACTCGGACAATGACTGGGTGGCATTGATATATATAAGCACTACGGAAATTGGGTGATGACTGGCTGGCATTGAGACATGTAAGCATGAATGCAGGCATGGAGCTCTTAAACCCAGCCAACCCCAGAGGAGCTTAGCTGACGGGCGATGGAATAAACATTTCCCCCATCGGCCCCAGGTGCCAGTGCCCAGGGGTCAGGTGGTCCGTGGAACTCTGCTCCATAGGCTCTGCCCCCAGTCAGTCACTAGACCTTTCTTCTGTGTGGCCTTGAACTGCCAACCTCTCAGTTACCAGCTGAGCACCACTTACTTCACTAGGGATCATCCGTAGATATGATTTCCTTCTGTTAACAAGGTTTTATTACCGTGTTGAAAAGTCGTTTGTACCTCAGGTATGGTTGCCTCATGCACGTAGGCACGCGGTCCCAGTCCACCAGCTGCCCTGCGTGAGAAGGTTGGGCAGCCTCCTCCCGTGTCAGTAAGTGCCCTGAAAACCAGCCGGAGGGTCAGCTGTGTTCTGGTTCTGACTTGATGGTGGTGCACAATAGCAACAGCGTACACTCCGCCCAGAATGGAAGAGCAAGCCGCCTGGATCGAAAACAGCACGGCGGCTTCTTGACGCGTGAAACTCGAGTCACCACATGCGTGGATTTCAGTTGTTGCGTTGTCAAGTGCCATCAAGTCGTAGACGACTCATAGCGACCCTGTGAACCCCCAAAATATATATGCACTTGGGTGGGCCGTAGTTCTCAGGGGTTTGGATGGCGTTGTCATGGATTGACTGTGTGCCCCTAAAGTGCATACATGTGGGGATATGTGTCGAAGCTATGCAACAATCTCTGGTGACCTCATAAGCCAGCTCTTGTGGCCTGTTGTTGTGTGCCGTCAAATCAGAACCAACCCATGGCTGACCCTCCAGTGGGTTTCCAGAGGCCGTCAATCACGGGGGTGGAGAATGCTCATCCTTCTAGCACAGACCAGTTGGTGGATTCGAACTGCATGCTTCTGGCATTGCAGCACAGCTTCTTACCAGCATGCCGCCAGTCTCCCCTCTCCTTGCCTTGTGGCACAACAAAGAGAACTGTGGGTGGGATGCAGGAGGCCTTTGTTCCGTCCCACTGAGGTCGGTAACACCTCATATCTCAAGAGTTGATGGAGGAAGGCCAGCCTAGAAAGGTGGGAGAAGGCTCAGAGCCACACGGAAGAGCTGCCTGGAGGGGTGTGCATCCTTTGAACCCGCGCCCAGCGTGCACCTGGACGCCAGGGGAAGCCAGGACACATGGAGTTCCTGAGAGATGTTGGCCCACAGGTGCTGAGGGACTCTGGCACTTTCCTCCCTAGCCGTCAGAGCCTGGGCGCTTCCCAGGCAAAAGAGTAAGTTTCTGTTTGTTAAAGCCACCCATCTGGATGTCTCTGGAGTCTGAGCAATCGAACAGGACAGGACTGGGTTCTGGGAGTGGGCTGCTGCCCTGACAGGTACCTGAAATGTGGCGCTGGCTTTGGAACTGGAGAGTGAGTAGCAGGTGGCCGTAAGTGCTTACAGAGAAAGACTAGACTGAAGAGGCTGTTGGTGGCACCCAGCCATCGAGGCCGCCCAGACAGAGGCTTAGGAGGGGAAGGGTGAAGGTGAACACTGACATCGGAGGAGGCACTGTGGACAGACGATGGTGGAGAAGTACCTGGAGACTCAGAACCAGGAGACCCGAGCTGAGGGATGCCCTGGGCGGTTCGCCATAGCGCCGGGAGCATGGTGCAGGCTGGTGCACTCTGGACTAGCCAGCCTCTTCAAGAGACCACAGAGCCTGGAACACTGTCCCATCTGAAAGGACAAGGCTGTAACCTCTGGGGTCTCAAAGTGTGGGACCGTGGCTTCTTGGCTTCTCAGGATGGGAGCACAGTTTTAAAGAGACGATTCTTTGCCACGGTTCCAGAGTGTGGTACTGGATGGAGCCACTGCCCAAAGCTGAGGTAGCAGGGCGGCCATGCCCAAGGAAGCAGAAGGAAGGAAGGATCCAGACACAGAACCGCCCTCTGAGTGGGCCTGGGAAGCAGAGCTCAGACCAGCGGGGGCCTTCACCCTGAGCACAGAGAGCCTGGCCAGCGGCTGGAGCCTCGACGGTCCCCTGAACGGGCTGGTCTGCAGGCGTTGCTGAGCCAGAACCCGCTCCCAGCTGGACCCCCCTGGGGTTTTCAGAGGCATCACGTGGGAGGACACTGCCCACCTCTCCGGTGGAGCAGCCAGAGGATCCAGCAGCACGTGATGTGTTGGCCGTGCAGCTGTGGCCAGCAGTGCTCTGCATGGTGCCCGTCAAATGTCTGCTCCCTGCCTGTCACCACCGCGCTTTGCAGCTGATAACTTGCACCCTGAGGAATTTTGCCGCAGGAGAGAATTGGACTTTTGGAATGATACGAGAGGGTGAACATGGTTTGCATAGGACAAAGACATGAATTTTTTTTCAGCTTTTTAAAAAAAATTTTTTAAATTTTATTTTATTTGTGTGAGTGTACCGTCAAATCAGATCCTCCTGGTACAGGAGGAGATTGTCCCTCCTTCCCCGGGAGAGCACCTGGTGGATTAGAACCGTGCGCCTCTGGGATTGTAGTTGCAGCTCCTTGCCACTAGGCCACCAGAGCTCTCCTAAAGACATGAATTTTTAGGGAGGAACGAAGGGTACAATGTCACGGATTGAATGGTGTCCTTCTAAGTCCATTGAATAAGGATGACGGCAGAAGCAGCACTGCATGTGAGCTGTAATGCTGAAGGAGAGTTCTCGACCTCCCAGGGGCTGCCGGAGCACCAGAGTGTCGTGAAAGGTGGCCAGAGTGCTCCTTGGAGGCGTGGAGGACGGAGCTTTGTCTTGGGTGCTCTGCACGTGTTGGTAGGAAAGGGCTGCCGTGCTTGGAGAGGTGGAGGGTCAGTGAAAGAGGGAGACCATGCAACAGTGAATGAATAAAAACTGTTTTAAAAATAAAACTTTACATGGGTCGTGTATATTCAAGGGAAAAAAGGTGCTCTTTAACCAAACAGTAATGCAAATTTAAATACTAAGATGTGCCAGATCCCAGTTATAGTATTTTTTTATTTATTTTTATTTTTTGTGCATGTACCGTAAAATCAGATCTGACTGGTACAGGAGGAAATTGTCCCTCCTTCTCCGGCAGAGCATCTGGTGGATTTGAACCGTGTACCTTTGGGATTGCAGTACAGCTTCTTGCCGCCAGGCCACCAGAGCTCCCCCAGTTATAGTATTTTTAATCCCTTCCTACACAAGTGACAGTTGGACAATGAATAAAGGTGATGGTCTTCTGAAGACTGTCCAGAGAGGAGGACCTTTGTTTGGTGCTTGGTGAGATGGATTGACAGTGACTTCAGCAGTGGGCGGTCAGGGATGGTCAGGACAGTGCAGGATAGGACGGAGGCAGCTCTGTTCTTAGGGTTGCTGTGAGTTAACAACAGCATACGTGGATGTAATGTTATCCAGTTACGGATAAGGGTAGAACCAACACTCCTTAATTCCCCCACAGTAAGGGGAAGTACCCCCGGGGTGTGGACAGTAAGACCTTCTACCTCACAAGAGTTAAAAAGGGAGGAACCCCAGCCAAGATGGGAGGGGCTCGGAACCCTCACTGAAACACGGTCAGGAGTGGAGCCAGGCCCCCAGCCGCTGCCGCCCCACTCCCCGCCTCCCCGGGCTGGGCAGCTCCTTTGCACTAGAGGAGGCTCCTGGGGACGCCCCAGGCACGTGGGGCCTCCAGGAGCTGATAGGAATAAGGGCACATCCCCCACTCCACTAGTGCCTTCCTGAGACCGGGCACCCTGAATTTGAACTTCAAGCCTCCTGAACAGGAAGAGGATACATCTCTGTGAAAGGCCTCTACTGCGGCATCTGTGTTACAGCAGCACCAGAGCGCTGAGATGGTGATGATGGAATTTGCCAATCAGCTGTAAAAGGATTAGGTGGGGATGCAACATCCCTAATGAGGTCACAACCCTGGAGAACCTCGCCCTCCAGCCCATTCCACTGCATGCAAAGGAATTCTGACTCAGGGCAACCCTCATCAGATTTCTGACACTATAAACCTCAAAGGAAGCAGACCACCTCATCTCTCCTCTGCCAAGTGGCTGGCAGGTTCACGCGGCCACATTTCAGGTAGCAGCCCAGCATGAACCAGCATGCCGTCTGAGTTCCTAAGCAGTGAGAGGAGAACTAGAAACATCTGCTTTTTAAAGCCATCTATCCACTTGTGGTATTTCTGTTACAGCAGTGCTAGAGAACTAAGACCTCATATGACCTAGCAATTCTACTCCTAGAAATAACTTCGAGACAGTGAAGACATATATTCACAGACAAAATCGTATGGTTTGTGCTGCTGAGAAACAAAGTAGAAAGAACCAGAATGCCCACCAACTAATGAATGAATGGTCAAGCAGATTGTGGTCTACCTATACAATACCTAATTCTTCATCAGTAAGAAGGAGTGAGTGCTGACATGCTACAACTTGCCTGCAGCTTTAAAGCCTGCTAAGTCCAAGATGTCAGATAGCCACCCTCTGTGTGATTCCATTAGCAGGAAACACCCCCAGCAGGCAGAGCCAGACAGAACACAGTCAGTATGCCCAGGGCTTAGGGCTGTGCAAAGTAGGACCCACTCCTGATAAGTCTGGGTTTGCTTTTTGAGATAATGAAGACTACTGATATTAGTGTTCATGGTTGAACTTTAAAATGTAGCATATTCCATGTTATGTAAATTTCAAACCAATGTGTTTGTAAACTTTGACTCAAATCACAATAAATAAAATAGAAATATGTCATTGTTGTTGTATACCCTCGAGTGAGAAATGACCCACAGCTAATTCTCGGGTGGGTTTTCAGTCAGTTAATCACACAGGAGGAGATAGCTCATTCTTCTCCTGCAGAGCAGTTAGTGGCCTCAGACTGTGAACCTTCAAGTTTGTAGTGCAGCTTCTTGCTACAAGGCTACCAGATCTCCCTAAAATATAAATAAGAATTTAAAAAAATCTATTATAAAGTTTAAAATTTAATTAGTGTTCTATCCTTGGACACATAAGATTGTCATCAGACAATACTACTAAAGAACAAAAATACGTATAAAAAAGCTGTGGAATTGTTTATATAATTCATTGATAGATCCACTTTGGAAAAATATATTCTAAGGAAATAATGTACTTGGACCAGGAGGCAATCATCAGAACAGAGCAAGGGAACACTGCATGGTTCAAAATTGGGAAGGGCGTACGCCAGGGATGCATCCTATCTCCATACCTTTTCAACCTACATGCAGAACAGATTATCCGGGAGGCTGGGCTCTATGAGGAGAAATGTGGGGTCAAGATTGGTGGACGATTTATCAACAATCTGCATTATGCGGATGACACAACCCTGCTTGCTGAAACTGAAGAGGACCTGAAGTGCCTGCTGCAGAGGGTCAAGGACTGCAGCCTACAATATGGATTGAGGCTCAATGTCAAGAAGACAAAGATTCTCACCACTGGACCAGTTGGCAGCATCAGGATGGATGGTGAAGAGATTGAGATTGTACACAGCTTTAGTTTGCTTGGCTCCATAGTCAACAGTCTTGGCACCAGCAGCCAGGAAATTAAAAGGCGCATTGCCATGGGAAAGTCTGCTGTTAGGGACCTCTCCAAAGGGCTGAAGAGCAGTGGTATCTCTCTGGAGACTAAGGTGTGTTTGATACAGGCCATGGTCTTCGCAATCACCTGTTATGCATCAGAGAGTTGGACAATGACCAAGGAGGATCGAAGGAGAATTGATGCCTTTGAGCTGTGGTGCTGGAGAAGAGTATTGAGAATACCATGGACTGCTAGGAAAACAAACAGGTTTGTCCTGGAAAGGGTTAAACCGGGTGGCTCCTTGGAGGCAAGGATTCTGAGGCTCCGTCTAACATACTTTGGACATGTTGTGAGGAGAGACCGGTCCTTAGAGAGAGACATCATGCTTAGGAGGGTGGAGGGACGGCGCAGGAGAGGAAGGCCCTCTATGAGGTGGATTGATTCAGTGACTGGGATAATTGGGATGGGAGTGTCAGAGACAGTGCGATTGGCACAGGACAGAGCGGAGTTTAGGGCTGTTGTACATAGGGTCGCTATGAGTTGCAGGCGACTCGACGGCACATAACAACAACAACAATGTTTATATCATGTTTTTAATCCTTTTGGAAATGAGATAGGATATAATTAAATACCATGTTATTATATAAACTAAATTCATCCTTTTTCTATAGAACAAAATCACTTGTATGGTGCTCTGGTGGTTGCTTTGTAACAGAACTCCAGGGCATGGTAGCTCAAGCACTGACTCCGTCTCCTGGCACTGTGGGCGTGTCAGTACTCAGGGTCTCACCTTACGTGTGTCTGGGGCAGGGCTCCCTGAAGACTTACAGCATGAGGCAGGGGTACGGCTGCTGGCGAGGGGCTCAGCTGGGCTCCCACCCAGTGTCCACACATACATCGCCTCCCATTTAACGTGAACGTCATACACATAGGTTCCCCAAAACAGGAGGTGGAGGCTGTCATCTTCAGGCCTGAACCCGGGAACTGAGACAGTCACTGCTGTATCGCCGGGACAGAGCGGTCCTCGAGCCTCCAGGGGCTCACTCAGTGAAGGAATGGCAGAGGACTGGTAGCTACTTTGAACTTAGCACTGATGGTGGAAGCTGTGCTGCAGTCCCAAAGGCACACAGTTCAAATCCACCAGTTGCTCCATGGCAGAAGGATGAGGGTCACCTATGGGATACAACGGCAAACAACAACAGAGTATTACACATTTTGACAGAACTAATTTTGCTTCTCTTTCTCTCTGATGGACAGATGGGACTAATTCTGTGCACAGTGAGATGTTTGTTGATTCACATGAATTTGACTTCTTCCAAATTGGAGTTGACAGTGAGGTAACATTTTGCTTCAAAGAACTGAAGGTAAACACAAATATTTGTGTCACATTGAAATTCAGATTTCCAGTTGTACGGTATAAAGATTCCAAGTTATTTTTCCTGTTTTCTTCTCTTAGGGAATACTGACCTTTTCAGAAGCTATACATGTTCCTATATCAATTTATTTTGATTTTCCTGGAAAGTAGGTCCTTGGAAACTTTTCTGAGTTGTTTAGTTTGGTAACATATTTACAGTACTACTCTGGATAATTTTGAAAATAACACCTCTGAGCTTAAGTCTTTGTGAACTACAAACTTAAAAAAGAATGTTATAACTTAGTATTTGTTAAGCTGGTTGAGAAAAACTTGTCTGTAGAGTGAAACATTTATACTTTGACATTATGCTGAACAAAATTAGCTAATTAGAAAATGACAAGTTTAAATCTCTATGAAATGATATTTTTACTTAGAAGTTCAGTGAGATTAGGTTAAAAGTGTTTTATGAAATTGGATGTGATGATTTCTAAGATTCTTTCCAATTCTTAGGACTTCCTCAATTTATAAAAACATGGCAGGACTTTTTCTTTCCCGACAATGACTGTCAACTTTAATGTTTTCCTGTCCTTCAGGAAGTGAATGTCATTTTGCTCTGCTCTTGCGTTTCTAGGCCTGTGGCTTTAAGCATTGATGACATGCTCTTGGAAGCCAACTTTATTTTGGCTACCTTGGTCGACGTGCCAAGTCAGCCTTCTTCGCCACGATCTCTGTGCCTGTCACAAAGACCGAAAAGGTGAGGCCATGCCCGAGCTTCCGGAATGTGCGGGGAAAACTGCTGCCGTGTTGGACGCTGAAATCAGTCATTGTGAACTCAGTAATTCAGTACGTAATTGTCAGGAAACTATTAGGAAAAGAACATTAGAAGATGAAGAAGTTGACTGAATCAGCCAAAGCTGTAGCAAGCCAGACCCAGCAAGACAGGGTCACCAAGCTCACCTTTCCTGACCACAAGGCAAATCTTCAAACACACCTTTTGGTTTAAAGTGACCTAGTGGGAAGGACAAAGCACAGGAGAGTCTGTGTCACCGCCTTGCTCAGACATAGAGGGAGGCAGTTTTTCTTTCTTTTGTTTTCTATATTTAGCTTTTTAGAGAGGGAATAGCTTCATTGCAAAAGAAGTACACAGTGAAAAACAGTGTATACGAACTTTGTAAATAAACCAGTTGTTGTTGTTTGGTGCCGTCGAGTCGTAAACGACTCATAGCGACCCTATGAATTAAAGGCCTGAACACTCTTCGTACATAGAGTTTCTGGAGGCAAGCCATTTTGGAAGTGGATGCCGCTCCTGCTTCCAGCCTTTTTTTAGTTGGGAAGCTCCAGCAAACACAAATAAGCCAGTATAAGATAAAAATTTTATTTAAAAAATACCAAAAAAAGTAATACATAGTTATGGTGGGATATGTGAAAAATACAGAAAAGGGCAAAAGAAGGAAGTAACACTCCATAATTGCAGAAGGTCGGGTGGTGCCGTGGTTAAGGCATTTGGCTGCTGAGGACGGGTGGTCTGACCTCACCATCTACTTGTCAGGAGAAAGCCTGGGCAGTGTGACCTGTAGAGAGGATGGCTCCGCAGGTGCCGGGGGACGCCCTGCCCTGCCCCACGCGACTGGGGTAGGCACTGTGAGCGTTTTAGTTCACAGAATTTCTTTCCCCCAGATTTTTTTTTAATTTCTTTTTTTTTTTTTGGTTTTTTGTTTCCCCCCCAGATTTTTATTTCTATTTTAAAACAAAGCTGGGAGAATACAGCATATGTACTTTTATTTTATAGGCTAAATAAAATACTCTCATTTTGACGGTGGCTGAATGGCCAGGTCAGTTTATCCATTCATCTGCTTTTGCATGGTTTCTCCTTTTCCCTCCTGTGAACAGTGTGGTAACAGCAAATGCAGTTTTTGTATCTTGGTTTCCGCTCTGCAAACTACTGTGTTGTGAAACACGTCCATTAGCACCGGTTATGCTTGAAAACCTTGACTTTGTACCGACTTCACAGGGTTTTCTCACGGGGGTGTTTTGCGTGCCATTCAATCGGAGGCTACTCAAAGCGGATCCTCCAGCAGGTTTTCAGAGGCGGTCAGTTGTCTGGGAGGACACTGCCTGTTTTTCTCCTGTGGAGCAAATGGTAGATTTGAACCGTATGCCTTTATGACTGCAGTGCTGCTTCGTACCATTAGGCCACCAGAGAGCAATTTGACTGTTCCAGCAGGGCGGTCACCAGAACACAATCATTATCATAGCATTAGGTTGTTTTACTGAAAAATGTCACTCTGTTTGGGAAACATTTTAAACAATCATCATAGACATGAATTTCCGCTTTTTCTGGCCCATCGTGTTCAGTATCTTCACCCGAAACAGGCACCGCTGTCATCTGACCCACTTGCTAGATTCAAGTAGGTATTGTGAAGCATCCAGTTCATTCCTTCATTCCTGCTAATCCCTCAGGTCAGACTCCATCCTGTCAAATTCAGAGGTGGCTAAGAGCATGACCAGCGAGGCCCCAGAGTGCACATCAAGAAAAGCAGCCCCCAAAAGGCTGCGTCCCCCAGAGTCTCCCCCTGGCACCTCTGCACTGGAGCACAGCAGCAGCTCCCGAAAAAAAAGAGTGGACAGCGATGTCAGTCACCTTTCAGAAAGCAGTGTGAGCAGTATGGAGGTCACACCAGGGCCCCTCCACCTCAGGAAGGTAAGAGAGACGCTGTGTGGCTCAGGCTCGGAGGACAGGGCTCCTCATCCCCGCCTTTCCCCTCTCTGCCACATTTCCAAGGTCATGAAACATGACTTTTTGATAGAGGAGGGGTTAGGCCCCTTTAGAATGGGAGAAATGTCTGATTTCTAGAATTATCACTGTAGAAACTGCCAAAACCAAGTGCTGTAAAGTTACTTTCAGCATAGAGGGCAGAGGAGAACTGCTCCCACGGGCGCCCACAGAGCAGTGGAAGGTTTGCACCACCAACTTTTTGGCTAGTGCCTGAGTGTTCTAACCACCGTACCACAAGAGCTCTTCTGAATGTCACTATACAGTAGTTGACGTGCTTATCCAGCAGTTTCTAACAAGGCATAGCAAGTCGAGATTTGGGACTTGACAGTAGATTAAGGAACACTGGTGATGGTATGTAATGTTGTTGTGTACTCATGGATCAGAATCAACCCATAGCTGGCCCTCCAGTGGGTTTTCGGAGGCTGCAAATTGCACAGGAAGAGATTGCCCATGTTTCTCCCCTGCAGCAACTGGTGGATTTGAACTGCATACATTTGGATTGCCACTGTCAACTCCTTACCACTAAGCCATTAGAGCTGCTAACAGAAAGGTTGACAGTTTGAATCTTCCAGTTGCTCTAAAGATGGGCAGTCTCCTCTGATAAAGAAGCCCAATGGAGGAGGCTGGGAACTGGAATCAACTCAATGGCAGGGATGTTCTTTTTAATAGGACGCTTTATGGCTGAAACTGGAGAGCACCAGAGGAATGTCTTTGTTTCATTGACTGTGCAAAGGCATTTGACTGTGTGGATCACAACAAACTGTGGGTAAGCTTGAAGAGAACTGGAATCCATTGATTGTGCTTATGTGAAAAATTTACTTGGACCAGGAATAGTCCTCAGAACAGAGCAGGAAAATACTATATGGTTCAAAATCAGGAAAGGAGTGAGTCAGGGATGTGTCCTGTCTCCATACCTTTTCAAGCTGTATGCAGAAAAGATCATTCGGGAAGCTGGCCTTTATAAGGAAGAATGTGGCATCAGAATGGGAGGAAGATTCATCAATAACCTACGTTATGCAGATGACACAACCCTGCCTGAAGCGCTTGCTGCAGAAGGTCAAGGACTGTAGCCTCCAAAATGGATTGAAGCTCAACATCAGGAAGACAAAAATTCTCACCACTGGACAAATTGGCAGCTTCATGATAGATGGAAAATAGATTGAGATTATTAACAATTTCGGCTTGTTTGGCTTCCTAATCAGTACTCTTAGCACCAACAGTCAGGGAATCAAAAGAAAAATTGCATTGGGGAAAATGGCCTCTCGGGGACCTCTCCAGAGTATTGAACAGCAGTGATGTCAGTCTAGAAATGAAGGTGGACCATGGTCTTTGCAGTTGCTTGCTATGCATCAGAGAGCTGGACAATGACTAAGGATGACAGAAGAAGAATTGATATCTTTGAATTGTGGTGCTGGAGAAAGAATATTGAACACCCTGCCACAGCCTCTTCACAGCAATGCCCGTCTTCTCACACTCTCTCCCCACCATCTCAGTGTCTTCACACTCTCTCCCCCACCGTCTCTCGGTGTCTTCACACTCCCTGTTGCAGACCGAGGGTCCCAAAGAATGAAATAATTATTTTATAATTATTATTAATAATAATTTTATAATTATTAATAATGAGACAGACTACCAGGAATGACATGGAACAGAGAGTGTGAAAAACGGGGTCAACGGTTCCCATGACTGAAGGCCCCAAGCCATGCTTCTCTGAGTATTTATTTAGAATCATAAGGAAGGTAAACAAAGTAAAATCACAAGGAAGTACAAAACAAAGGATAATGGTGAAGTCTTTTACAGATAAGGCCAAGTTCCTCTTTATGCTAATCTCAAGAGGGAGGGATTCAGTTGACACAGACTAAGAACAATGTTGACTCCTAGGGAACGCCCAATGCCACAAGGTGACCTTCAGCTTGTATTAAGCTTCCCTCATTTCCCGATACAGCATTTGGTCTACTATTATTAAATTTGATATTCAGCTTCCCTCACGCTCCCCCTCTGTCCCTCAGTGTCTTCACACTCTCCCCCACCGTCTCTCAGTGTCTTCACACTCTCTCCCCCTCTCAGTGTCTTCACACTCTCCCCCTCTGTCTCAGTGTCTTCACACTCTCCTCCTCTGTCCCTCAGTGTCTTCACACTCTCTCCCCCTCTCAGTGTCTTCACACTCTCCCCCTCTGTCTCAGTGTCTTCACACTCTCTCTACCACCGTCTCTCCGTGTCTTCACTGTCTCTCCACCACCATCTCTCACAGTGTGGAAAGCCTTCTGGTATATTGCTCCCACAGCTGTCTGTTGATGATTTGTAAGATGATGTGTCTGCAGTTAAGGTCGCTGGAACCATGTCCCCAGCGAGGGCTGACACACTGGCTAGAAAAGCCAATATTCAAGGGTTTGGACATTCCCAGAGTGGGTTAAACTTAGAGTCATGTTCTGGTTCCCGGGAACTTCAGCTTCAAGTTGAACCTGTTTATGAGTAACTGATGAGACTGGAAGACATTCGTATTTATGCTCATTCCTAAAAGAGGATCCATCAGAATTTTAAAATTCTTGAACAATGTCATTAATACCACATACAGATAAAAACCTTGCTGAAGATTATTCACAAACAGCGGGAGCACTGTATCAACAGGAAATGTCAGATACTCAAGCGGATTCAGAAGTGAGGGAATGAAGCGTAGCACCCATGTCAGATGGATCTTCACTGGGAGCAAAGAATACTAGGAAGGTGTTTGTCTCTTAACTATGCAGAGGCATTCACCGCTGTGGCTCATAATCAACCTTGGAGAACACTGAGAATACTCAGTTGTGCTCATCCCAGCCCTGTGCATAAACCAGGAAGCAGTCATTCAAACCGAACAAGGGTCTATCATAAGGTGGTATTATGTCACCACACTGAGCATGTGTGCTGAACAGATACTGTAAGAAGTGAGACGCCACGAGGAGGAGTGTGGCATCAGAATGAGACGCAGACTCCTCAGCAGCTGCAGTCGATGCAGCACAGCTTCTGCCTGTAGGTAGTGAAGGCTTACTGAGGAAGATCAGAAACTTCATCTCCACATCAGTGAAGCAAAAGTCCTCACAACTGAGCAGCAGGCGACACCCATGGTGGTGGCAGTCAAGTCAGTTGACCTTTGCTCGGTTGGGCAAATCTGTTGTCAAAGCCTCTTAAACTGCTAATGGGCAAGCGTGCTAAAGACTAAGGTACACCTGATCCAAAACATGCTATTTTAAGTTACTTCCCATGCCTCTGAAAGTTGGACAGTATGACTGAAGTGATAGCTTTGAATTGTGGTGCTGGCAGTGTACTGAATAGGCCACGCACTGCCAACAGTACACAGAAATCTTCAGAGGGGCAACCAGGGTGCTCCTTCCAGGAAAAGATGGTGAGACTCTGTCTCACACATTTTAGGCATAGGAGGTGCCAGTCTTTGGAGAAAGACACCACACTTAGAAAGACAGAGGGTCAGACAAAGGCAGACACTCAAGGCGGTGGGTAGGCACGGTGACTGCCACAGTGAGCCTGAGAATGGAGCATGGGTGGGCTCCGTACGGCGTCCATCGCTCAGGGGCGCTTGCTGTGAGTCGGGGTCCGTCGCTGACTTCCTCGTGTGGAGTAAGCAGCCTGTCAGGCCGCTGAGGAGGGAAGCAGCCGGGACCCGTTGGCAGCTCTAGAGGTGGTCTCCGGAAGTGGGCAATCTCAGCTTCAGAACCGGCGGAGGCTCGCTCAGCGTGAGTCACAGTCCACTCAGCAGTGCTCTTAGAAAACATACTGGAAATCCATCCGTATCAAGTTTTCTTTTTTAAGTTACATAGTTTTCCATGTGCAAATGTGCCATAGTTAATAACCCACTTTTCTGTATTTAAGGCATTGGATTTTTGTCCAGTATTCTTCAAGTATAAATAGGGCTGCACAACATGTATTTTTATAATTTTGTAAGTGCTTTCCAAGGTAAACTCCTGAAAGTTGGTTCAGAAAGCCATTGTGCATGTAGGGCTTTTTAGGGACACCAGGGTCCCTTCCAGAAGTGCGCAGTCAGCACCCCTTCACTTCTACCTTGAAGGCCGCCTCAAAGGACTGGTGGCCTCTTGACACGTCATGCGACTCCACGTACTTTGTCCTTTTCAGTCTAGTTAGACTGGGCACTCACTGAGGGCAGGCCGAGCTTTGATCCTCCTCGGTCGGGTTCCTAGAGCACAGCTGGTGTGGGGCACAGGGATTCCAACCCAGGAGGAGAAAGATGGGCCCAGTCCTGTGACCCGCAGCCTCGCAAACATGACGGTGGTTCTGTAAGTTTCCACTCTAAGTGGGAATTGACCTGATGGGAGTGGTTTTTAAGGTAAGATTTAAAAATCTCTCCACATGACAGGAGTCCAGAATGAAGGCTGCACAGTGCAGTGGACTTGGGGGGAGGGAATGCATAGCAGTGAAAGAGTTTTCCTTTTACTCATCAAGGAGAAAAGTGAATTGGGAGGGAGGGGGCAGGCAGGGAGAAAAGTGCAACAGTGAATGACTGGAAACCCTAAGTCTCAGTAAACTCCCATTAAATTCAATAAAATAAAATAAAAAATCTCTCCAGTGCTGTCAGTAAATTCCAAATTCCATTTTGGTGAAAGAAGTCTTTAAAATGAAATTGTTAGAATGTTACCGTGTTTCACAATGACCACCAGTGGCTTTTCACTTAAATTTAATTAAGAAATTATACACAGCTCTTTAGGCCACTGAAATTTGAAAAACGAATGTAGACTGTAAAAGTTATATAGTAGTTTATGTTCTTACCCAATTCCTAAGGGCTTTGAGGCCTGCTCCCACATGCATGGCTGTTCCTAAGTTTTCTGCACTGAAGACTGTCCACGAGGCCAGGCCTAGTGCTGGGCCAGTAAAGGAGGGCTGGGTGTTCGGAGTCTGCACACAGCCAGAGCCCACCCTGTCATCCGGGTCACATATGGAGCACTGACTTGGAATCCCTGGGTGGTGTAGTTAACTTTGAGCGGCTAACTGGAGGACAGGTTCAGGGCCACCCAGAAGCTCTCTGGGAGAAAGGCCTGGTGATGGTCCTGTGACAAAGTGGTCATTAACCCCGTGGGGCACAGTTCTACTGTGACCGGCAGGGCGGCACCATGTGCCACGTGCTTTGACATCTCAGATTGTTAAGGTGGCACTGGGATAAGCAGTGGACTTGTATTTTTTCTCCCCAGTTTTCTTAGTTCTTTGGAGCGCTTTCTTCTGATCTGCAAGAACCTGCCAACTACCCTTTGAATAGTCTGGCAAAGGACAGTTGAGGACCAGAACAACGGCAGCTTCTCCCCATTCTAGCCTGCAGTCATGGCTGTGGCACTGCCCGGCTCTCCAGTGGTCCCACTCAGCGCGTGTGGGCTTGGAGAGGTCTCTGCTCCTGTAAATGGCATCGTCTCAGACAGTACTTGTCAAGTAGGTGTAATTTCCCTTCAATCCACATGCTGTTTGGGGCTCCCGAGCCCACTGGGTGTCTTCAGTTCAGGGTGGGCTCACAGGCGAGCAACCCCCATCTCTGCCAGTTGGGTGTCTGCCTCCTCACCAGCAGGCAGACACTTGGAGAGCACCAAGACAGCTGCACGCAGCGTTCCGTCCCTTAGCTGACGGGTTCTGTTGGGTTGGAAATGTGAGCTGAGGTGCTGTGAGAAACCAGCAGCTCTGTTCCTCTTCTGTGTTATAGCATGCCATAGGTGTTTCTTGCCTGTTACTTATCTTTTGTTAAATAAAAATATATAGCCACCACCTTCTCTTTGGAGCCTTCCTATATATTGTAAAATTGTAGTTCGGTTTTTCTGTTGTTTTTGTTTTTTTTTTCCTCCTCCAGCAGAGCTCTGGTGGATTCGAACCATGCACCATTGGGATTGCAGTGCAGCTTCTTGCCTCTAGGCCACCAGAGCTCCCCTGTAGTTCAGGTTTTTTTTAAAGTTTGTTTTTGTTTTGTTTTGGTTTTTTATTATTTTGTGTGCGTGTACCATCAAATCAGATTTGACTGGTACAGGAGGATATTGCGCCTCCTTCTCCAGCAGAGCATCTGGTGGATTCGAACCATGATCCTCTGGGATTGCAGTGCAGCTTCTTGCCACTAGGCCACCAGAGCTCCCCCTGGAGTTCAGTTTTAAAATTGATTTTCAGATACATTTTTTCCCCTGGTGATACAGAATTCAATGGAAATGATGCCAAAATCGTTCACCCATATTGCCTAACAGGACAGCAATCTCTACCTGCAAGAAAAGCCTGGGTTCAGAGTGGTATAAGGTTGAAGACAGATGCCTATTCTCTGCCTCTTACCTTCAAAATCTGGCAGGAAGATGCTGTTACATAACATCTTAGAGTGTGAATTGCCTTTCCCGCCTCCAAACCTGTTCACAGCCAGTTAGAACCTAACAAACCAGCCTTCTGTATCATCTTATTGTTAAGTTTCTGAAACCAGAGTCCCAAGCAGTGGGGCTTTAGTGGTGGTGAGAAATGCATAAACAAAGGTGGCCCAGGCGGATTCATTTGCTTTCAGAACTGCAAACAGTCCTGACGGAGAACAGGACGAATCTGGCTCGTGTAGCTGGTAATGAGCCACAGCTACCCACAATAACCCAGGAAGAACTCGAGTTCACACCAGGATGGTCCCCGGTCAAAGAAAATGGGCTTTCACCACGCGTCCCGTGGAAAAAGGCAGTGCCCACGTAATCCTGACTTGATCCTTCTGCACAGTGAGCTGACTGTCCTTGGTTACACTGATGATTCACAGAGATGCTAACATTGACGGATAAAGCAGGAAGGACTTTCATACACAGAAGGAACTGTAGACGCTGCAGAAGTGGTGGGGCTGGTCATCGGAGGAGGCCGAGGAGTCTGGCCGCTGCGCGGGTCTGGAAGAGTCAAGGGCATACACTTTCGATTTTGGGTACACAGTGCGAAGTTTAACAGCCCCCAGGTTTTCTGCGCTCACTACGCCACCTGGAAGGAGGGAGGCCGTCTGACTAAGCCCCATGCTGATGGATCTTTGCAGCAGCTAAAGTGAAGCCCTCGTGGCATGGTCGGTGCCAGGCTGCTGACCAAACGGCAGGCAGGTCGAACCCACCAGCTGCTCAGACCGACAGCCTTGGAAACCCTGGAGGCTAGCTGTGAGCCAGCTGGCACCTGGGGAAGGTCATCTACTAAACCAGCACACACAAAACGAGCCCCATTTCCCAAAGAGAGCACTCCAGGTAAGCAGGGCTAGGACAGGAGGGTTACCAGAAACAGGAGTTACACCCATCAGAGTGTATTACTATTAATGTTGGCGATAAAATGTGAGTAAGTGGTTGAATGAAAAACCAGAGTTACACCCATCAGAGTGTATTACTATTAATGTTGGAGATAAAATGTGAGTAAGTGGTTGAATGAAAAACCAATGTTCTTCGTAAATGTTCAACTTGAAAAACTCCACTAGGTACCAAAGGGCGGTTGCTACCAGGATGAGCAGACCAAGGGCTGTGTCGTGGTTGGTGAAGAGTCTGCTTTTAGCCACCATTCAAATGAAAAGAAAGACACAGATTAGTATAAATACTATATTTATTAAATATCTTTACAGTTTATTTAAATGTATTTACAGAACTATTCCTGCATAAGTTATGTTTCAAACATCCGATTCAGGTAATTGCCTCTGGGTAAGACAAATCATGATAGTCTCAACAGAAAAAAAAAACTGCAGCCCATTAGTATATACAGATTCAAATTTGCTTCATTATTTAGCCATCTTTGACACAAACTACTTGATAAGAGTTAAAATTTTGACATGGACACTTTTTAATAGATGTTCAAGTCTGCAAAGGATTAGGATGTATTTTCTCTCTTTTTACAAATAGAGTCCCAATGCTTTTTGTTCATAATTTTTTTTGTCTTAAAAGCAAATTTTTGATTTTTTGATAATGTAAAATGTGTTTGATGAAAAATGTGGTATAGTTTCCAGGGAAACTGGATGGTGTAGCTTCTCCCAGAGATAGTCTTGTCTACGGTAACTGCCACGAACCTCACACGACCACAGACGTTTACATTTCTCGCAGGGCTTATTTTAACCTCCAGGCTCAACACTGACCCAAGGACCTCCCACAATCCCTGCCCTGGTGTGGTGAGCTGGGGGTCCTGAAGCCACTTCCGCCTCTGGGCTCTTGTCTCCCCAGAACAGCCGTGGCCAGCAGGAAACTCTCCCAGCAGGCAAAGCTTGCAATCTAGCATCTACTCGAGACACAGCCCAACCTCCAGACATGCACACCTGGAATGGATTCGCCTGTGACTCAGTACCCATCGATCACACTGAGTCAGCAGAGTAATTCAAGACAAAGAAGTTCAAATTTTCCCTTCATTTCTTATTTCCATTTGCAAGAGCCTATGGACTCTACTGCATCTCCAGTCAGTAAAAAAACTGTTTTGTGCGCAGGCAGCTTAAGTTCATAGGAAGAAATAAGGTTCTGATATGTTTAGAGTGCACATTTTAAAACAGAACAAAATAAAAATTTCAAGCATGTGATAAAAATATTGATTTTTATAATACAGTATTGCTTTATAAATATAGATGGAAAAGCTATAAACTTTACTGGTCTTTGGTGCATCCAGAGAGGGATAAATAATTTGCCATATGTAAATTAGAAATCCAAATTTTCTCTTTTGTTATAAAAGTCGATTACATGAGGCAAATGTGTGTGTGTGATCACACTGCTCGATTTAAAATACAACAACACACACCTCAGGATCAGAATCGGACCCACCAAGTATTATAGCACAGACCCAGCCCCCGAGGCTGGGGTCCTGAGACCTGGAATCTAGTGGGGTCCGGTACAGCCTCTGACCTCTGACAGGGGATGAATGTGCTCAGAAGCAGCACACCAACTGAGCCCCTGGCAGTGACAAAACTAAGTGCTTAACACAAAACGGACAGGCTGGAGAAGAAAAAAAATTTGATGTCACTAACCTAAAGGCCAGGTCCAAAGTCAATTCTGTGATACTCAATTCTTATCCCACAGTTTTTAACATCACTGGAACACACTGTCAGTTTCCAACAAACGCTTCCTCAGAAAAGGAAGCTAGCTGGTTAAATGAGTTGTGTGAAATCACCAAGCTGGCTCTCTAAGGACTGTGTTTGATGAGTTTAAAGAGAGCAGAGAGAAACCAACTTGACCAGCACTGTTCTTCCCAGGAACTAAGTGTAGGCATTGGAAAATTAATGCAAAAATAGATCCAGATCATAAGGTTCTATACCTCTGACCAGAATTCAAAACCTCAAGCTAAAGAACTGAGGTTGGCAGCCCAAGTACAAGTCTGTTCCTCCCAACAATACCCTTCTGGATGCACCTTTCTTGTACTTGGCGACTGCAAACAATTTGTGCAAAATAAATATCCCGCCACTTGCCACTCATGCTCCCATGTCTTCTCCTCTCATTGCACAATTTCTCCTCATTTAAACCGTGTCTCCCTCTAGCCTACCCATGCCACCCCCCACCTCCTTCAGTGAAGAATTCAGCTTTGTCAAGTTAGGGCAGTTAAGGCATTCTGACATGTAATTCAAGGTGATTCAAAATATCTAACATTACGCCAATTTAGGAATAGTAGATAAATTATTGAACGGCTTACAAATGAATAACTCATTCTTATTATAAATGAAATGCCTGTTACAAGCATGATGCATTGAAATACAGTAAATGACATGTACATGGTACATGTTAAACAATTTTAAATAAAACAAAAGCTTGACAGTTACTCAAATATACAGTACAAATTCACAAAATGAAAATCTTTTAAAACAGTGAGGTAACCTCAAACATAAGTTTCAATGCAATAAACCAGGAAGTAAGTATCTCCTTCAGAGAAAAGGACGTTCTCTGATCTCCTCAAGTAGATTCTTACCAGGTTTAACTGCACTCTCATCTATACACCAATGTTACCTGACTTATATATAAAACATGGCTTTAATTTAAGGATTTCTAAGTATATATCTTTTTCTACCACCAAGTTAATGAAGAAAAAAAACTGACCCAAAAATATATATATATATATATCTTTACAGCAGTCAACTTGTACATAAACCTTAAAAAGAAGTTTGCGCTGGCAGATTATGGGGAAACTGAATGTGGGGGAGTTTTAGAAGGACACTATACATGGCAGAATGGCTATTCGGAAACTGTAAACATTATTAAGCTTGACTCAGAAACCACTAAATGGCTGTTTAGGGCAACTGCAAGGATCAGCTCATCCCTAGTCTTCCTTGTGGGTGTGTGTGCTGTTGCCGCTGTGCGCGGTGCTCTTTCCCACGGGGTGCATGGAGTTCAGTGCATGCACTAGGAAAGCAAGGTGACTAATGAAAGGTCCAGGAGTAAGACTGTGGGTAGCGTGACCACCAGAAGCCGACCACTTACACAGTCCCGGCTGTGGACCCCAACCATTGGGCTCTGAGCTCCCGTGAAGGCAGGCATCACAGCGGGCAGCTGGGAGGAGTCTGAATAACCATAGGTCATATTTCCACAGAAAAAAATGTACTAAGGACTCTCCCTCCCTCTCCTGTCGGTCAGGCATCGGGACCAATCCACACCAGGCCAGTGCCTCAACAGCACAACAAAGGGGCATCCACAAACCAAAGAAATTTTCCTTCCATTTACCAGAAAATCTCCTGGCATCAAGACGTCGTAACACAGGGCAATATTTTAGAGCAGAATTACAAACTCCTAAAAAAGGAGGAGTTTATAGTACAAACAGCCACACTCAATTATCGTAACAAAGACAATGCCTGTGGAATCCAAGTGTAACTTGGATTATGAATGTAACGAATTATGAACGTTTCTAGTAGATGGAGCAGAACATGTAGTTTGCCAGATTTTTTTTGGTTTTTTTTTTGTTTTTATAAATACAAAATTTTATTTGCATTTCATTAGTAGTTTGCCAGATTTTTAAAAATCCCTTTTATGCAATGTAATTTTGAATTCACCATACCCCACATTACTCATTGCCAACAAACTCTGACAGCTTGCAAAGGATAACGGCCATTGTGACGTGGAAATTCTTCCTCCCCTCACAGGAAAGGACAAGGAGAGATGAAGGCCACTCTTCACCTCCAAGTTCTCTTCAGTTGTGGCTGGCAGACACGAGCTAGGAAATGACAGTAGTGGTTCTCAACTGGGTCTCAAAAGGACAGGCAAACGCTCACATCACTGGCCATTGAGATCAGTGGCAAAGAAACATGGTCCTGCCTGCAGGGTCCGCGCGGCAGGGGAGAGTCCAGGACGGAGAAAAGGCAGGCAGGTGCTGAAGTGGGACGAGTCAGTCTGTGTACTCGGCCACGATCGACAGAAGGACGGTGATGTCATCTGGCTTTCCACCTAAGAGGAAAAAGAAGTAACGTGTAAAAGGAGAAGTCTATCTGCATGGAAACCAAAGTGCACACATACACAAGAGGAAAACCCACGCACATGTGTTATCCGAATAGAAATATAGTAGTAGGAGACAAAGCTGCACTCTAGGCAGTTTATGTGCCAGTACACCCAAGCTTATGAACAAGACAAACTGTACTTGGAAAATCTGCTATCAGGGACCTCAACAAAGTACGGAGAAGCAACGATGTGCGTCTATAGAGACTAAAGTGCACCTAATCCAGTCATTGGTCTTCGCATTACTTGCTATGTATCAGAGAGCTGGACAATGACTAAGGATGACAAGAAAAACAGATGATGCCTTTGAGTTGTGGTGCTGGAGAAAAGTCTTGAACATACCGTGGACCATCAAGAAAACAAACAGGTCTTTCTCGCAGAGGGTGAAACCCAGTTTGTCCTTGGAGGCTAGGATTCTGAAGCTCCATCTCAAATACTCTGGGCATATGGCCTGGAGAAAATGGTCCTTGGAGAAGGACATCATGTTTGGAAGTGTGGAGGGATAGGTGCAGGAGAGGAAGACCCCGGATGAGATGGATTGATACTGTGTCTGGGGCAATGGGTGTGGGTGTATCAGAGTCAGCGAGCCTGGCTCAGGACAGGGCAGGGGTCAGAGCTGGTGTACTTGGGTCACTGTGAGTCGCAGGCGATCTGGCAGCACATAACCACCACAACACTCGAGCAGCAAAAGAGAATCATTAAAAACAAACATGTTGTTATTGTTGTTATGTGCCATCGAGTCATTTGCGACTCATAGCGACCCTATGTATAACAGCCCTAAACCCTGCTCTACCCTATGCCAATCGCATTGCCTCTGACACACCCATCCCGATTACCCCAGTCACTGAATCAATCCATCTCATAGAGGGTCTTCCTCTCCTGCACTGTCCCTCCACCCTCCCAAGCATGATGTCCCTCACCAAGGACCTCTCCATCCCTCCTTGCAACATGTCCAAAGTATGTCAGACGAAGCCCCAGAATCCTTGCCTCCAAGGAGTAGCTTGGTTTAACCCTCTCCATACATGCACAAAATCTGAGAAGTAAACCAAAATCACACAATAATACATGTAATTTAAAGGAAATTTTTAAAAGCACTGTTGTTTCTTTTCCACCAGAGCTGTGTTAATATGGCCACTACTATACTGTTTAAATCAATCACGGTGAAGATAGTATCTAGTTAAGATAAATTTGCCCACTGAGAAAGTGAACATGTCTCTATTCAATCCTAATTTGGGCAAACAGACCCAATGTTTTGAAACCAGCAGCAGGCTTGTATTCTAATTTGCAAACAGCTATGGTATGTGCGGCTTTCTATTTTAATAGCTCTGCAGGGCGAAGAAATGCTTTCCATGTCATAATAGTACTAGAGCAAGACGCTGCTTCCCGTCAGTGTGCATGCTCCCTCCACACGCTGTCCCAGCCCTCAGCCTGCGCTCTGGCCTGCTCCTGTCACGGACAACCCAGTGGACTGGAGGGCCCTGCAGCCAAGGGCAGTTTAAGTTTGCGTCCACTGCAGCGATCTGGCAGGCAACCTGCAGCCAAGGAGCCCCACCAAAGAAGGGAGGAGAGGCGAGGTGTCAGACACGTGAAGGGGAGAATGTGACAGGGTGAGGAATGCCCAGGCCCCGCAGGAGGAGCTTGGAAGCCATTCAGGCTCCAGGTCCCGCCTGCCTGTGCAGCCAATCAGGTTCCCCTGTGGAGGACAACCTCTGTGGGAGGGCGATGATCTGCCTTTGCTCTGGGGCCTCCAAGGTCAAGGCCTGCTGACCTTGCTCAGAATCACAGGCTGGCGCTGGGAGGCTCACCTCACACCCTACTGCCCAGATGCTCCCATTTCACTCTGTCCCCAATTAGTCCCCAGGACTTTCCCGAATGCTTACCTCTCACATTAAGCCCGTTGTCGCATGCAAATTGTGCAAAAGGTGACATATAGTTTGGGTCATAGGCCAGCTCGTGAGCTTGCTCAGCAATACTCCTCGCCGTCTGCTGTATACTCTCGTAATTGGAATTCTGAGACAAAGGGGAGGAGGGGTTATTGTGACCATAACACCCAGAGGTGCTGCATGCAAACATCACATTCCTCTAACCATGACTCCCATCAGGTCTGTGTGCTGGTTTAAGAACATCTGCTCTGACCACATGCCTGCACAGGGTCAACCGTGAAGGTCAGAACTGTCAGTTTTAACTTCCTCCACTCCCCATTTTAAATTCTTAAGGTGGTCTTGCTAAAACAGAGCAGACCTGACGGCATTTGAAGAGTGGTCTAAAATACGTCGCCGTTTGGGAATCTGGCCCCTGCCAAGCACAGTTTTGGTCTCTGAGCAGGAGCTGCGAGCTGCCCTCCTGCACATCACAAGCATGACGGCTCCTGAGTCAGACCTCAGCTGTGCTGGCATCTGTAAAGCGGGGACGGAAAATGAGCTCCACTTTGGTTCAAACATTCTAGGATTCCACGTTGTTTCGGTATCAATGAAACGGGTCTTTGCTTTCCGCCTCCTCCAATGACAGCCCCTCTATTCTCTACACTTTGACCTCCTCCGTCTTCACCTCCTCTTACTGACCCAGCACCACATCGTGCATTTATTTCTCTGCTGTGTTCCCCACTCCAGGGGACACTCCACGAGACAGCCATGCTGTGTGGTCTGTTAACACATGCACGGGCCTCACACCAGGCAGGCTGCTGGGAGCATGAGGTGCACTGTCGTAGCTAATCCTCATGGCTACCTGTCAAGCAAGATGAAGCAGGGCCCATTTTACAGGGAGAGGTAAGCCAGTGGTGCAATCGTTAAAGCACTGGCTGCTAACCAAAAGCTCTAGAGTTCAGATCATCTGTCCCAAGGGAGAAAAAGAGGCCAGTCTGCTTCTGTGAAGATTCCACACTGGAAACCCCAAAGGACGGTGCCACCTGCTCTACAGAGCAGCTCGGAGCTGGAATCGACTTGACTGCAGGGGTCTGGGTTTCCTTTGTTTTTTTTTTTTTAACAGGAAAGAAAAGTATTGCCCAGAATGGTTGATAAACTTGCCACAAATTATAAGGGTCCATGGTAAGCACACTGAAGAGGAAAGAGTCCTTTTCCCCAGACACCTCAGTTTTACAAAGCCTGTGGCTTCCGTGTCCTTGCGGCCTGTGTGCGGCAGATGTGCTGCCCCTGGTCGGCTCTGGTATGACTGCCTGTCCTCCCAGCATCAGCACCTGCTGGCTTTGTTATAGGGAGGGAGACCAGGAGCCAACCGCATCCAAGTATAAACACACTCCAGATAAAAATGTCCCCTTCTGGACTTTTCTCACCATACCACCCCTAATGACCCCCTTGTATGAGAACCCTCACTTTCATTCCTAATGTTCCCTATTTTAATTCCATTCACAAATGCTTAGAAGAGCAGAACTACTGCAATTCTCCTAAAGTCCTTTCCGAAACTATACAAATGGGACGATGCAATTCGATCACTCACACGTAGCAACCTTGGGAGCCCACTCTCTCCAAGGCTAATCTTTTGAGTCAATTACCTTTAACTTTTTGAGCTCCTGAAGGATCATGTAATCAGGCATGTTGTCAAAGAGTCCATCTGTTGCTGTCAGGATAATGTCTCCCAGCTGGACATCAAAAGATGTGCTATCAGCTGCTTCTGGGCTGTGGCAAGGACAGAGCAGGAACAGATAAGAAAACCCTCTGAGATGCACTTGAACCCGTGCTACAGTCACTCTGCACGACACCAGGGGCTGCAGACAGTGACCTGAGTGGGAGGGGGCCATAGGGGACTCAAAACCAAAGCACCCTCAACTTGACAAAAACCCTCAAAATGACACAAACGAGCAGTATGGAGAAGGCCCCTTCCGTTGGAGGGGCTGAGGACAGAGAACGGAGCGCAGAGTACAACGCAGTCACTTTGAGGCTAAGATTCCTAACGTTGAATAACTTCACTGGATACTCATAATAGATGCTCCCAAGAAACAATGAGTGTGATGATGAGTGGTTCAGCGGGGGACGTTTCTGAGTCAGATGCTGACAAGCCTCTACAATCAAAGTGGAAAAGGGCCTGCATCTCCTAATTGTTCAGAAACACACTCTGTCCTCTCTTCCTCCCGCTCCAGCACCAGTTTCCTAGCAGGCTGGCCACAGGCTCTGGAGTTTCCTGATAGTTGGGGTGTGCACCGAGTCCCAGGGCAGCACGCAGAGAGATCAGGGAAAGCCGACTCCAATTACAGAGCTTTGTCACAGACAAGACGGGAGGTCTGTGTGTTTCCCTTGTGGGTGCCTAGGACACAAGAACACAGGTGTGGAGAGAAGGCCACCTGCACAGAAGGGAGGGCCCCAGGGGATCCAGGCTGGTCCTCTCCTCCGTTGTGAGGCAGGTGGCAGGAAGGGGAGGTACTGAAGACCTAGCTGAGAACCCTCCAGCCAGCCCAAATGAGAAAAGAGCCCAGAAAAATTCAGAAAATGACCTGATTGGGAGGGGGCAGTAGGGGAGTCAAAACCAAAGCTCCCACAACTTGATAAAAACCCCCAAAATGACACAAATGAGCAGTATGACTTAATATTTGTTAAAAACAAAAAAAGACCCAAAACACGTTATACAATGACGACAAACCCCCTACACATGATAGGGATTTCCATAAACTATGGTGAAAAATGTCTGGGGGGAAGAAAGCAGTGACACGTACAACAGTCCTGTGTTGGATCCCAGAGAGGAAGAGTGAGGGGCAGCTACACGGCCAAACAGTGCACAGGCTGGGAAAACAGCCTCTACAGGAAAAGCTACAAGTCAAGGTCAACGTCACTCCTTTACAGAGAAAAGGAGCTGTAATAACTGAGGAGATACACAGAACAGGGGAGGAAAAAAAGACTGGAAAACAGGTCAACTCTTTCTGAGGAACAGAGAGGAACAAGGCAGCCACATGGCATTTGCTGGGTCTCTGGAAGCTCCTCGGATAGAGAGATTACCGAGCAGGCTGGCTCTGCAGGCCCGTTCTGTGCTGAGGTCTCCTTTTGCCCAGGAGCGTCCTTTGCTACCTTGCCTGCGAGAGGCTGGCCACTACTGGACGGTCCGTCCTCTCCCCCCGGCCTCCCACCCGTGAGCCTGGTGTCCCGCCAGCTGCAGCCCTGCCCATTTTGATTGAACACTGGGCTGCTGGAAACTTCCGACTGCACTGAAACCCGAGCTGAAATCACATGCTAGGGAGCCGCCTCTGGGTGCCAGGGGAAACCATGGCTCCTGGGCGGCCCATGCCGTGGTGGGCGGCACTCAGGACCGCACAGTGCTGTTCCCCGTGACCACCCGCTGAGTTATGAACCACCTGAGCCCTGGGGTCCTGACTCTCATCAGGACGAAATGAATATGCAGTCCAGCCAGCCCACGAAGGACCTATAGTCAGATATTCTTCCAAATATGGTCATCTGGCTGCATCTAGAAGTGTTCCTTCTCTGCTGGAGTCAGAGACAGGCTTTCTGTTAACAGGCTCAATGTCATTTATGAAATGGCGATAAGACTTCAGTACAGTTTGGACTTAAGATCTGGATTCATAGAAACCTATACGGAGAGAGAGTAGGCACCTGCAAGAATGTGTGCATTTTCCACGAAAGGCCCAGTGTCCTGTTAACAAACACTCAGAAACTAGCCACAATGCCTGTGCCAGGTCCTGCAAGGCTGTTCATGGCACTCTGCACTCACATTGGAAAAGAGGAAGCTGTAAAAACTATGTATATTCTCAACAACAAGAGGAAGCTGTAAAAACTATGCATATTCAACGACAACAAAAATAAAACCAACTCCATCTAAGACGCAGCTAACTGGTCTCTGCCCAGTCAAAGCAAGGAAGAGTGAAGAAAATCAAAGACTAGTGGAAAAAGTGAATGCAAAGGACTAACGTGTCTGTGCACTCTGGCAGCACAACCTGAGAGAGAAGGGACAGAGCGTGCCCAGCGGCCACCACCACAACCACCACCACCACCGTGCTGGACGGTCACACCGGGAGGTCCTGGCTACAGCGCAGAAAAATGTGCAAGACAATTGTGAGAAAGATCAGGCTTACTGGTCGAATTAAGAGACTGGGCGCTACGCATACGACCTTTGTCAACCTTTTAACTCCCTGAGCCTCTCCTGTCTCAACTTTCAGCCGAACAATAGATAGGCCCATAAGATGCACAGGGAGGTACATACTTTCTAGAATAACCAATCATAGAGAATCAGAGGGCAGCCACTTGCCCAGAGTTAAAGCTCAGAAGGCAAACAGGGATAGGAAAGGACAAGTGGGAACAGGAAACACTGAGGCCAGTGGGAAGAGAGCGGTCACACTGTGGAGACTGCAGTCTGTTGTGAATCAGATGTATACAAACTACTATATGGAAACCTAATTTGCTCAGTAAGCTTTCAACAAATAACGATAAAAAGGAACAAAAACCAAACTAAAAGTGAACCAAAAAAAGTACCAAATGTTTGGTAAAGTTCTTGTTCATCTGAAAAATGAGCTGTGAGAAGGTATTAGTAGTGAAAAAACAGCTTAATAGCATCCCCACAGAAGGCTAAAACAGACCCACATCTGATCCCTTTCCTGCACATTGGCTCTGCCGTGATAGGTTTTGCAAGCCCCAGCCGACGCAGGTAACAGGATGCCCTGAGAACCGGGAACTGCGGGGCCTAACAAGGCAGACATCTGGGCTGCCTCATCCCTCACAACGTATGCAGTCTCGTACAGGCACCGGTGAGCACGGCGAGCACAGCAGCCCGGCTCTCCAGACACCACGTGCAGCGGCGTGAAGAACTGCTCTTCCCGGGGCCCGGACTGTCAGTCCTGTCAAACTGCTCGGTGCTTATCAGAATTTGATTTGGTTCAAATAGCAAGTTCAAGCACAGCATCTTTCCACGTGTGAGCCTGAACGGTTCTCCTGATGCGCACACTGCCAGGGTGTCTTCCTTTCTCATCTGAGGGGTCTGCCGTACTGTGGACACGACCTTACCTGTCGCTCAGGACAACGCCTTCGGCTTCGGGGGGCGCGATGGACAGCTGGAAGGGAGTGTTGAAGTAGTGCTGCTGCTCGTCCGAGCGGTGCACGACTTCGCCGCCGCGGACCACCAGGAAGCCCGAATCACCCAGGTTTGCTGTGTGTAAGCGGTGGCTGGTTCTGTCCAGGATCACGATGCAGGCGGTGCTGCTACCTAGAAACACAAACCATTTCCATCCATTTTCTCTTCCACAGCTCCCTTCGTGTACACAATGCCAGCACAGAACCAAAAAGCAACACACCGTTCTGTGCATCTCCTCTGCCTAAAAGGGCCATAAAGCCTGCAATGTGAGGACTAATCTGGTCAGGGCCAGCATGGTGGGGCAAGAAAGAGGTGTACGCGTCACACACCACACAGAGGCCTCTGATGACTGGACTCTTGTACATGCAGAGGAAGAAAGCTCTAGAGGAGTGCCGCTGAAGCACAGCGACTATCTACGCCAGCTCTCAAGAGCTCTGCAGGCGGCTGACAGTCCATTTTAACATGGAAATGCCAGCACGGGAATGTCTCCTTCTCCTGGCATTTCTTATTAGTCCCTGGCAGGAAGCCTTCTCTATGATTTCATTACCATTCAAGACAGGGTACAGAGCTACACTTTTAAGCCAGGTTCCCATCTGGCAGGGTCATGAAAAACTTGTGCTGGAGATGAACAAATGACTCAAAAGACCTGGAGTCCCAGGTGGCGGGGACATCCACCTGCTCCCTTTCCTGCTGTTCAGGGGACAGCCATAACCCACGTGGTCAGCACACAGTGCCTGTGCACCTCTGCTCCAACTAGCCCACACGACCTTTCCCAGATGCAGCGTCTGATAACATGAGCACAGATCGCGCTTAGTAAGGACATATAGCACTCAACCGGCCCAAAAAAGTCAAGAGTAAAAATAGGCAGCTACCAAGGAGTGACCACTTTCACTGTCCACCGTAACAGAGGCCGAGAGGATGTGAGGCAGGAGTGCAGGAGGCCCCCAGATCAGCTGCACTCACACCGTGAGGGGCCAGGGGAATGAAGCCCCCCTTCTGAGAGGCCACAGAAATACTCGATTCCCACTCAGTGACCCTACAGGACACAGAGAACTGCCCACAGGGTTTTCAGGGCTGACATTCCTCATGGGAGCGGGCTGCCCCCTCTGTCTCCGGAAGTGTGGCCGGTTAGCAGCCAGCGCTGTAATCACAGCATCACCAGGGTTTCTGAAAGGCCCTGACAAACCCCTGTAACCTCTAAAGTGACAAAGCACAGCATATCCGTGTCATGGAAGGCCAGCCAAGCTCGGTGGTCACCCAGCAGCCATGGGACCTATGACATTGACCAACCTCTGCACCTGCCTCTCCATCTAGAGAAACAAGGGTGACTCCTTCATAGTCCTGTTATGAGTTCAAGTGTGTCAATTCTTTATAATGCATAGGAAATGTAAGCTATTTAACAGCCATTAAAATTATGTCGGAGAAATATATCTGAAAAGGAAAAGTGAAATGAAAAGTGTGTAAACTTAATATGAAATGAATGTTGCCTTAAAAACAAGATAAAAAAAATCTGAAGAAGTGTAAAACAAAGAGAGTAGTAAAGCTTACCGTAAAAATTAAAAAGAGTAAAGTACAAACTGTTCAAGGTGCTAGTGAACACCAGAGAAATCAGGTTAGAAGCCAGCTGTGTTAAACCTCAGTGTGGAGTCCCAGCCCTGTGTGACAATACGTGACAGGGACAGACAGTCTTGTCCACGTCACAGAGCTGCTCAGAGCACACAATGAAGAGCCAAGGCAGCAAACCTGCAGAGGCCAGAGCAGTGCGTGCGAAACTGTCAGAGAGCGCAAACCTCCACAGTTCCTGACAGGGCAACAGAAGCGTCTACCCATCAAAGGAACAGACGGGGAAGACCCAGAAAGCAAGGCATGCGTGACTTCCGGGTTTCACAGGTTTCACAGACACGGTAACGCTACGTATGTATACATGGAAATCTGGAGGCTAGCCTCTAAAATAGAAAAAGCCCCCTTAGTGAGATTATGAGTCATTTAATTTATTGCTATTAATTTTTCCTTAATGAAAATGTATGACTTAATGCTAAGTCACATTCGACACATTAAATGTCAAAGAAAAGAACCAAACGGGCCCTGTAACTAGCCGGCAGTACTGCCAGATAATGCGCTCCCATCACTACAGTACAGGTGACATCACCAGTTACCTCCGCTTCCTAACTGCACAAAAACGTCAACCATTTATCATTAAGGTTCACCGTGCAAAAGATCTCAGCACAGGCAGCATGACACGCTCTTGAGAAAGAGGTGACAAACAGTACAGCCTTGCAGACTGCTACACGAGGGCCGTCTGTTGACAACTGAGGCAGCCACTGGGCTACCCCTGCAGCCGGGACCACAGTACCAGTGAGCAAGTGCCAGCTCGCCTTACCTGGAGGGCACAAGCCTGCTTCTTAGCCCCCTCCCATTACTGAGGAGTGCACAGGCTCAAGAGCTCGGCTTACATGTGTGGAGGGGAACACAGGCCGAGAAAATGAAGGAGAAAAGGGCCAGGAATGACAGAGCTGGTGAGCGCCACAGCAGGGACCAGGCGACTCCCGCATGCTACCATGGAAATCCTTGTATCCCGCAGCCCTGGGCTCTGTGAACTAGACAGCAGATAAAGGGATGGCCTTATTAGGACCAACTGCTCAAATTCCTCGGCTATACTGACCTACACTCCCAGAAGGGATCCCAAAGCAGCAGTCATCAGCACTGGCCCATGGGGCCAACCTAGACTCAAGCAAAAAATGGGGATAGCTGCCAGGCTGGTCCTTCATATCAGAATGGCTTCACAGGCTTGCTAGGAATTGTTAGACTAAAAAAACCCCATATGCACATGAATGTGTAAAAGCTGGATTAGTACAAGGTGGGAACCTGCAAAAAAAAGGAAAATCTTTTCTAGCAACAAAGAGCTAGAAGAATGGTCAGGGCTGTACCCCTCTCAGAGGCGGACAACGCTGGAGGTTCAGAGCACCCAGGCAGCTAGCTGCATGGGCCTTCAGCTCTCCAGCTCCACCGGACAGACAGATGCTGAGTCTAACCTTACAAAGCTAGCATCATGTATGAGGACCTCAACTAAAGGTCAGGGAAATCAGCAGCCTATACCTGCCAAAATAAATATGGCTGGTTTTAGCTAGAAACAGCCAAAGCTGTGCAGATGGGGAGGGAGGAGGGCACACACATCAAAGGTGGTAACAAGGGATCATCTCAGGGGATCTTCTAGAGAAAAAAGGATTCCTAATGGTCAATGGAAGAAACGTCTAACATGTCCTAAAATTGATTTTCTTATGATCTCCTTGTTAAATGAAGGTGAAGAGGAAAAGAAATGGGAGTGGGAGAAATGGTATGAAAAAACACAAGGTCTTTTCAAGTATGAAATCAGGACACTTGTAGACACCTGTGCTGATTATGCCAAGTCAAAGTAAACGTACTGCGGACTGAGGGGCAGAGCCCTCCTGGCAACATGCAGGAGCCCCCAGCCCCATACCTGTTTCTCAGCGCACACTCATCTTTTAATATATGGAGCAAGAGATCAGAGGTGGTTTCCCCAGTCATATAGCCTGTTGACAGAGAGGTACCACAAACAGAATCTAGCACATTTAACTGTGCTAAATATGAGAGTGAGTGAGACAAAGTCGTATACTGAAACCACGAGCCAAGATCGCTCCTCAGGCAGAAGTCAAACAAGCTGGTTCATCACCGCCCAGAGAAGACAGAAGGCGGCTGCATGATGAAAAGAGACCCTTTGTTTCTAAGGACTGGAAATTAAGGACAAGATTCTATAATGTGGAGAGCTCAGCTTACAAACAGAGGCTGATTTGCACTGCAATGGTGCCAGGGAGGGAGGTCTTCTCATAACAGGAAAGATGTTGGCAATTAGCAGAAACTTAATGACTCCCTTTCTGAGAGCCTGCTTAGAAGGCTGGGTGAGCTGTTGGGTAAGTTCCCAGGGAATAATTTAGCAAATGCAGCAGCTTTGCCAAAGGATGCCCACTGACACTTGATTCTAACTTTTCTAGACCAGATGAACAGAGATCTGTTTCATGCCATGCCACTGCCATCTAACCAGGAGTATGGGAGCCCATTTGCACACAGAGTGGGTGACCTCCCACCTGGAACTCCTTCTCAAGGGTCACCAGTCAAATGTTAAGAAGCCAATGCCGACCCTCTTGCCTAGAAGCTCTGGTGGTGCTATCAATTACGGAGTGGGAGACTAAGCAAAAGGAATGTAGTTCAGAATCCACCAAGCACTCCATCGGAGAGAGCCGTAGCACTCTGCTTCCAAAACGATTTACAGCTCCAGAAACGCTCCGAGGCAGTTCTCCCGCTGTCTTACAAGGCGCTGAATCAGAATCGGCTCAACGACAGCGGACTTCATTTTTAGTTATCCTCTTCCCTCCTCCCTCGGAAGATAACCGCCGTCCTGAATCCTAGATTCCTTTCAGTTCATTCTTTTATCCTATTTTTAGAATTCCTAAACAATGCAATTTCAAACATTTTATGTTTCTGAGCTTGAAATACATGGATTTACACTGCTAAGTGGTATCCAGCAATTTCCTCTCCTCCCAGCCCCTCAGTACTCTCCTCCAACATCACATCTCAAAGGCACTGACTTCTCACTCTGCTGAGGACAACACTGAAGGTCCCATGGAGCCAAAAGAACAAGCAGCTGTGTCCTGGACAAGGTGTACCAGGGTGCTCCTGCAGGGCAAGGATGGCCAAGCGTTGGCTCACACACTTTGGGCATGTAGCTAGGAGAGGCGAATCCTTAGAGAAGGACACCGTGCTTGGAAGGGGGAGGATGGAAGGAGAGGAAGACCCTCCCCAGGAGGACTGACACGGTGACCGCAGCAATGGACTTGAGTGTGTCAGAGATGGTGAGGACAGGACAGGGTGAGGTCTGTTCTTCATAAGGTCGACTCCATGGCTCCCTTCAATCCCACCCACCTCAACGATACACTCTAGAGCACTGCAGGCAGTTTGTTTCCACAGTGCATTTCCTACTGATGCCTTTTCAGGTGGGTCTGAGTTTTCTGTACTAGTAACAGCATTGCAGGGAACATTTCTGTGCATCTGCTCGTACCTACACAGCGAGTGTCCTCAGCCGAGGGCCGCACCCCCTGCGGCAGCCACGTGAACGGTCATTTGGTGGTACCTCATTTCCATCCCAGTGGCTGTACCTGTGTACATTCCCCACCCCGGCGGGAGCAAGTGTTCTGGCTGCTCGACAGCTTCTCTATCAAGCTGTTTGGGAGGTTGAGCCTTGGGAAAAAGCCAGCCAGCGGGGAGCGGTTTTCTCCACTCTTAACCACACACACACACACACACACACACACACACGCACGCACGCACGCACGCACGCCGGGGAGCGGTTTTCTCCACTCCGAGCCAGCTCCAGCTCCTCACATACACACGCATGTCCTCGAGGGGCCACCGAGGGGATGGACTTACCAAGCAAGGGGACTTTATTTTGCAGCAGCTCACAGTAGCTGGTTGTGAGGATTCCAATGGGGTTACTCGGAACAAACCGTCCTTCTTTCACCAAACGTTCACATGTCCGCATTAAAGTCCCTGAGAACTGAGATGGGTCAACGCCGTAGTCTCTCCATCCTCCAACACCATCTGCAACTCCTTAAAAACAAACCAAAAACAGATCTATTAAAGGACAATCTTAGCAACTCCCCAGGAACTCTGTCTCCACCTAACAATTTTACCACATCTGAGTTGTATGGAGGAGCCCTGGTAGTCCAGTGGTTTAAGTGTTGGGCAGCTAAATGAAACCCCCAGACATACCTCAAGGGGAAACTGAGGCAGTGTGTCCCCATAACGTCTTAGAAACCTATGGGGAGGTTCTACTGAGTCCTGTAAGACGATGAGAGTCAGAACAGATGAAAGGACGGAAACTCTTTACTTGAGTCACCATCCACTAGGATCAAGAAGCTTGGTATTTTTTGTTTTTCAGTATACATTTATGGCCTAAAATTCAGAAGAAAATTCCTTCAGTTTACTACATTATCTGTTGATTAAACACATTAAACACTTGGGCTTGTTCTTTCTTAGACTGATGAAGACACATTTTAAGTGGTATTTCTGACTAGACAAGAATTCAATTTTAGCAAGATTTTCATCTTCATGAAGGATTGTGCTAAAATATTTTAATATACTTTACAATAAAGATGGGGAAATGATTAAAAAACAAAAGTGAAGTTTAGAACCCTTTGCAAACACCAAGTAATTTCTAATACCTCTCCAATATTTCAATCTGTTTCTATCCACTAAATTCAAACACATTGTGAGAACGACAATGTTGGGTATGTACATTATGAAGGTTTTCAGTGACCTTTTCGGCAGGATAGTGAATAAAAAGGCAATAGTAACTAGCTGGTTTGGGAATAAGGGGTGGGAGCAAGACCACTCTATTTTATCACCAAATTTTCACATAAAGTCTTTAGGACTGCATCTGGTACCAAAGCAGGATACATGTGTGTTTCTCCCTGAAAAAACTGGCTTTCTATAAAATGAACACAGGGGCTTTGTGTTCCTGATGATGGCACTTGTGCCAGACAGAAAGGGCACACATCCTGAAAAAGGGAGGAAACAGACCTGGGAGACATTAAAGGGGCCACCAATAACATCACCCCTGGGGCAGCGACCTCCCTGACGCCAGATGACCAGCTAATGCGCACATTTCCACGTTAGTTAACTAAACCAGCTTCAAAATTCAGGGTGGGAGTGCTGGCAGAACAGCTGAAACAAGAGTGACCATGAAAGCCGGGGGACTCACATACTCATCTCCACTCTGTCAGATCTTTGAAAATGTCCATGATCAAAATTTTAAAAAAAGAGGTGGTAGGGGAATAAATAGACTTTTTTAGACTGTTTTTCTCCAAGCAGTTAATGAGATTTGGAAAACTATTAAGAGGATTTAAGATCATTTATCAGGGACTTCTTTTGAGGAATTCTTTTCACCATGAATTTAAATGCAACAATTTATGTTAAAACATACAATACAATTAAAGAGTGTTCGAAATACCCTCTGATGAATCATTCTTTTCAAAAGACTACATGCTTGAAGAAAGAATTTATTCTTAACCAGTCTCTGATCCAACAGCCACAATTAACTTGAAATAGAAATTAGTTTCATCTACAAATGCCCTTCACAGAGAACCATTAAAATCTAAGATAAGGTGGAGAGTAGATGCTGGCACTCACTAAATAATCTGTCAGCAAGTTAGAGTCTGACCTGCTGCGCCCTGTAACATTAATCAGATCTCTCCCAGAATAGACCACAACCTTTCCGGCACCTGTCTGCTTTTTAATGGAAAAAGAATCGCGGGCAAAACTCCACTGGCCAAATCTCCTTAGGAGGGGGAGAAAAGACGATTCAAAAAGCATATAGATTTTCAATTGGTTGTGGAAAGAAAGCGTTAGTGTACACTTGCAATGACAAGGAACATGTTATATAATGTGAAGTAGTCGTCTGGGATTAGAATCAGGTTGAAACCAGAATAACTCTACCTCCTGCACATTTGAAACCCAGCTGTACTCGTATTAGCTAGTTTTTCTACAAGGAAATGAGTATGTCCTCTACTGCACAAGCAGAAACTTCAAAGAAAAATCCATGTAAATAAATAGGGGGGGAAAGTCCACTCAGTATACATTTTAGTGGTAAAGAAAACAATGTTAAAGGGGGAAGACTGCCTAAGATTCCAAAGATAACATCACAGGACAAAGGACAAGAAAATTCTTAAGAGTAAACAGAGACTCAGAAGTACACTGGGTTAGAAAACGGTGGAGAGGAACCCAGTGCCTGCCTTCAAAATGCTCACTATCTACTGGGGAGCTAGAGAACCCACAAAGGGAGAGGGCAAAGTGCTCCCACCTATGATGCTACAAGGAGAATGGAGAAAGCCTTCTCTGAAGAAATGGCATTCAGTTTGGGACCTGGAAGACCTCAAAGACAGTGTCCCCAGCAGGGAAGGGTAATGGCAGACAATAAGGTGGAGTTGGGGTTGGGTGTGTGCATGAGAGATGGAAAAAGCCAAGGCAGGGGACAGAGCTGTTGAGCACCCAGAATGCCTGTCTAAAACTTCAGATTTTACATCCAAGACCTTTCCTTCCCAAAAGGGCAGTCTTCAGGCCAACCCAAAGGCTGGTAGATTAAAACTACTGGAGATGTGAAGACTGGGTTATCAGTGCATCTCACTATGGAGTACACCACCAGAGCCCCCTAATAACTAGACCACTTAAAAAACTTACTTACGGTAGTTTGCATTCTGTTTCTATTGAACAGCACTGCTTTAAATGAAATGCCAGCAAGGCTTCTGGCTAGAGGCTGCTGCTGCTGCAGCTCCTGGCTCAGTTATAACTCAGAGACCCTGTGTACAACAGGACAAAACCCTGCCAGAAGGCCAATCACTGCTTCCTGAGTGCAGCAGTTATCACCGCTCAACCCATCGCACTGAGGGGTCTGCCCCTTCTCCAAACTCTATTTTACTAGGCATGATGCCTTTTCCAGGGAGTATAGCCCCTCCTGATAACATGGCCAAAGTATGTGAGATAAGGAGATAAAGGAGTATTCTAATTCTTTTTTCCAAGATAAAGTATGTTTGTGCTTCCAGAAACCCATCATATATAGTCAATATTCTCACTAATACCATAATTCAAAGGCACCAGTTTTTCAGTCTTCCTTATTAATTTTCACATTCCACTGGATCTCCTTTCACTGGAATGATTGGCTGACCAGGTTTTAGCAAAGAGTGAGAGCTCCCAGTGTTGCCTCTGCTGACCAATCTCAACTGGTATTCCAGCAATCCCTAGAACCTTTCTTATTTTGCTAATGCCTTTAATGTAGCTTCACATCTTCCACCATGCTACCTTTTGAAATGGTTGAACAAGGACCAGTTCTTTTGATATAGTGACTGTATATCTATTTATCTTCTTTTAGTGCTGTCTGCATTGTTCCATTTTTGTCACCCATACAATCTCTCAATGTAGTGTTGTTACTGTAAGCTGAATTTTTTTTTCCAGTTCTTTCAGTCTGAGAAATGTCAAGCATGTTCTTCCTTTTGGTGTTCTACCTTCCAGTCTTTGCATATTTCATTAAAATAGCTTGTCTCCTTTACCAGTCTTAGAAATTTTGTTAAAAGTTCTTTTACAAAATCATCTGTTCTTTTGTTGTTGGACTATGTTGACTCCTTCCTTTAGTACTAGCTATCTGATTTTCAAGAGCAAGTTTCAGTCATGCGCAAAAGTATTATAATCTAATATACATTTTACAAAACCTACGGAGAATTGATGCCTTTGAGCTGTGGTGGTGTTGGACAGGAGTACTGAATATACCTATGGACTGCTAAGAAAATGAACAGGTTCGTTCTAGAGAGGGTTAAACCAAACCAGGCTGCTCCTTGGAGGCAAGGATTTGAAGCTTCATCTGACATACTTTGGACATGTTGCAATGAGGGACCAGTCCTTGGAAAAGGACATCATGTTTGGGAGGGTGGAGGGACAGCTCAGGAGAGGAACACCCTCTATGAGGTGGACTGATTCAGTGTCTGAAACGGTGAGATTGGCACAGGAGAGAGCACGGTTTAGGCTGTTGTAGATAGGGTCTATGAGTCGCAGGGGACTCAGCGGCACATAACAATAACGACAATGACAACATGACAACCTGGTAGCAGTGTAGAGGATGGGTGGGAAAGGTCAAAGGTCAAGCATGAGCTGCAATAGTTACAGGTAATGACAAAGCAGACTAGACAATCACAGAAACATCAAGAGGATGAGTGAAAAAAAACACCCAAGTTTCCAGGCTTCAGGAGCGAGATGAGGCCAAGAGGTGGGAGTCGCATAAGTGGAGTTTCCAGTGCCAGCAGGGCAGCAACTTCACGGAGCTTCTCTGCCTGCACCTTGGAAAGACAAGTCAGGGCAGGTCTCTGTGATGCTAAGGGAGAGCAAAGAGTAAGAAATATAAAGAATGAAGACAAGACCATAACTCAGAAATGAGAATTCCTGGCCAAATAGCTCCCTTACAAATTCTGTCTTAATCACGGGATCAAATGACAATCTTCATATGATAAAGGATTACATTTTCAAAACAGCCAAGTAATCCAGTTTGGTAGAATAATATCATCTCTGCAGAGGTCAGCAGAAGTAAAGCTGAAAGACTAGAAATGAGTTAGATATTTGGAAAGACCCTGAACACAAAGGTAAACAGTGAATATACAAGCTCTTTCCTTTAATTCAATATAATCATCTTATGTTTCCATTAAAAACATTCTGTCAGCACATATCTAGCTTAAGTGTTTCCTTTGACCCAAAATCCAATTAAAACCATTATTAGATTAAAGTAATGGGTCCACGTCTGAACAGCTGAGGGGCAGGCAGAGCGCGAGCGAGAGGAGAATGAGAATGCGGTGCCTGTCACATTCCCACCCACACAATCCAGCCGGGCAGAGGACTCCTCACAGGGGTCCCGGGCTGTGTGTCTTTTGACAGGAGCACCTCCCTCCTGTGGAGCTGATGATGGATTCAAACCACGGACCTCACTTGCCCACTGTGCCACCAAAGCACAGAAAAGTTGTGGCAACCACTAAGTGGAAACGTAAATGTTATAAAATATTATCCACTAGAAA